CGTGTGACCCTGTCCAACCGTCACAATGGTACTTAGGTACTCGTATGAGCCCGTGACAAGAGATGGGGCTGCTGTCTTCTACATTCCATTCTACCAACCTTCATCCTCATGAATTGCGTATTCATTGTTATTTGGGTCTAATGCGGCATGATGCCGTCTCTATGGTTTGATTGGACTCCAATGATGGGGGGTGGCAGCCCCTCCGTTTAGTTGAATGTCATAAAGGTGAAGAAGATATCTGTAATCAAAGGAGATATTACTCATCATGTAAGTCCATTGAGCATCATTTAAGGCTCAGCAAGCGAGGATGGGCAATGGGGAGAGGGTTAACAAGGGCCATCGGGAGCTTGAAGCCGGGGGGTGCCGGGGTCTCTCTAAAAGTGAAGAAGCGTTGGAGGAAAATAAGTGCCAAAAAATGTACTGTTTTGAATGCGCACTCGGGGAATCGAACCCCGGGCATATGCGTAACCTCGTAGAGCATTAGCGTCATGTCGACGTAAGCACCGGGAGGCATATATGTTACCACTACACCAAGTGCGCAACGGATGGTAAGGCCAGAGGGTTTTAAAACTATAAACTAATAAGTTTGGCCTCTTACTTGATGAATCGGGGGGGCTACGCCCCCCGAACCCCCCCTCGTCAGTCTGGATGGATGTGAACCTCACGTACACGTTCACAGCACAGGCTCACAGCTAAGCACCCAAGCTATCGGGGGGGGCTGCCGCCCCCCCTCAAAAGCTGTGGCCGCATCTCCTAACTTCCATGGGCACCGTAGGATCCATTCAGATGGCGGTCCGTATGGGTTGAATTGTGGCTTGAAAATTGGGGGCCTAATTGTGGAACCCTAATCTGCTCCGGCCCTCATGCGAGACATGTTCTTCACGACAGCCTGAGCCAGTGCAGCAGCTGCATAAGATCTTCTAAGTGCTAGATTTTGGTGATTATCAACATGGAGCATAGAGTAGCAGTGCCTCGCACCGTGGTTTGCAGATAGAACCAGTACGTCGGCGGCAGCGCGGTACCGTAGCTGTTCGCAGAATGGAAAGGTAATGAGCCTCGGACGTAAGGCTCTCTAGTGTAAGGGGCGACGCACAAGCTGCATAACTGGACGCAAAGGAATGGTCCTCTCAGGGTGCGTGCCGAAAATCTTTGCAGGAAGGTGAGCTGACCAGGCCATGTCAGCTAAGTACGTAGCTGCAGAGCTGGTGCGCGCCATTGATAACACTAGAGTGGAACGCCAGAAAAATCTCCAGTACTGTCCAATCCAAACGTCGAAGCGACAGACGTGACGCCTGATCTTTGTGCTGGTGGTGGTGTTGGAATGCTCTCCTTAAGAGTTCCTTGAAATTTGTGCTTGCGCAACTTCAATGTTGCTTTCATGAATCAACTTTTCCACTCGGTCAGGCAAGGACAAAACTTCGGATTCTCACCACCACCACAAACAGAGTGTTCTGATCATCAAAGTCAGGGCGGCGGCGCCACCTACTCGCAGTTTTTAGGGCCAACATACCATATACACAGGGTCAACATGAAACCCTCTCAGCACAGCAACCCATTCAAAAATGGTCCTTCTTACCTGTGCAACAACTCTCTGCTTCCTAGTAGATAAAGCATTTGGCACAAGTAGGCCCCTGAGCAACTGTTTTAGGATTATCTAACCTGCACCACCCTTTTGCAGATGGAGAAACCTTTGCTAGAGGAGATCTCTGCGGAGGCACAGAAGCGTCAGCCAAGCCTCACTATCGATGAGATTGAAGATTGCAACCGCGATCTCAATGATGGGGAGGACTACACTCTGGAGAATTCTTTGGAGAGCCAGGACTACGACAGTCTATCGTACAGTCAAAGTTCCAGCAGAATCCAGGAGCCTGAGCACAAGCACGTCTTTGGGTAAGCACATTCTGTCTTGTCTTCACATTCTATGGCAACTCGTAGTTGAATATGCCCCTAGACAGATGTGTCAATGCAAGAAGGCCTGTCTTTCGAATCGGTCAGTTTTCTGATGATTTCTCCAACCTGTGATTGAGTTTGCTTGCTTCTCTACAGGTATTCCGGAAGCACTCTGGCAAAGTACATCACAACTATTACAATTGGCATCTTGACCGGTGAGTAGCATGGGAGAGGGTACTAGAATGTCTCCGGCTTGCCTAGAGCCAGCCCGACGAACGAGCAGAATTCGAGGAAAGAAATGGTTTGAAAATAATGATCCTGTGAGAGACCCTGCCCTGTTTTCATGAAACAAGGGAGCATCTCCATGGTATTATGTGACGTTTGCCCCGCAGCTTTTTATGCAGGAGATTCAGAGAGTCCCCTCGCTTTATGCAGGTATGGTGGCATTTGGAATGGAGTCGACCGTTGAAGTGATCATCGAAAAGAAGAACGAATGGCTCCAAGATACTCTAATAACCAGGAGTCCATACTTCGCATACTTCGGTGAGCCTCTTTCAAGTCACTTTGCTCTTACAACAATGTCCTCCCAGCGAAGACTCGGACTGCGAATTGACATGCACTATGTTTAGTCCGACTCTCTGAATAGACAAAAATATGCCGGCAGTCCACTGAAAATAGATTCCTTCCGTTATGCAGGGGCAGTTCTTTTTGGCATTGGTCTCATCAGCGTAGCCGTCTGTTTAGTATCATTCTGGGCGCCAGCTGCTGCGGGAGGGGGTGTTACGCTGGTCATTGCATACCTGAACGGAATCGCTGTCCCTGACTTTTTACGAGGATCCACTCTGATCACGAAGGTGAGAGGGAATGGTCAGAAAGCCTGTGGATCTATCAAAACTCTAGCTCTTGAAAGCACGGTGTAGCTAGTTGTGTTTCTTCGTTTCTGATCATTCGACCTTCCAGCACACCAAACTCTTCAAAACCAATACTGACAAAAGTGTTTCGTTTCCTTCAGATAATTGGCACGATCTGCACTACTACCTCCGGACTGGCGGTAAGAACCTGGCGGAAAGAATACTCAGCGAATGTTTGGACACCACCGCACTTCGGGGTTCTTGATTCTTGCCTCACCAACTGCATGGAACAAATAGGCTTGTGCGTTTGGGTCATCGAGCATCCAGTCCAGAAGAAAAGCTCTGTCATTGGCCAGAAGTGATTGACGTACTTCGACCAGCTACTCTCCACCGGTAAGGCCAGATGCAAACCCTGGGTGTGTGGTTTGCAGCTCGGACCTGAAGCTCCGCTTGTCCACATCGGTTCGGCCATTGCGTCCGCCCTGACATGGCCAGTCTTGAGCAAGAGACAAGCAACAACAGAGGACGACGAGAGGGGTGATCGTTCGTGGATCGAGAGGTTGACACATCCTGCTGGAATGTCCTATGTAAGCAGCGCGACTTTGCTCTTGCTCTCAGGACCTCCGAAGATCAGGACTTGTCTGCTGTACTCGAACCTAGACGGGCCAACAGACCCGATCGTTTATTATCCTTTTCGTTATAGATGCTTGTGTACGTCAAATCAGTTCAATGTGATCGGAACAGCTTCTGCTCGAGAACCTTACCAAAATTATACCGTGCAGGATTTTCATAACGATGTTGATCGAAGAGAGTTCATCTCAGCTGGAGCAGCAGCAGGTTTGGCGGCCGTTTTTGGTGCCCCGATCGGTGGCGTTCTCTTTTCTTTGGAAGAGGCATCCAGCTTTTGGTCGCGGAAGGTACATTCGTTTCCCTCGTTCTGCTGCCAAGATCCTTTCCGCATCCCAGCTTATTCAAACGCTGCTATTCAGTTGAGTATATGAATTCTAGCACTCTATCTTCTTCTGGCGCGGAAGAGTCCTTGGATGCCGCTTTGTGTGGTGACTCTGTCACATGCAAGGTGAATGCAAATGTACGGAAGCTCGCTTCAAAGGCGCTTTGAGGGACTCCGCTTTTGATTGCAGGTTATGTGGAGGTCTCTTCTAAGCTGCGCGTGTGCTACGCTTACCCTCTCCTTTCTTCACGAGAGGTTCGTTCGTTTTTGTACCTTGGTTGCTAGCTCTGTCCATCTGGCCGTTTGGTCCAAGCGTACGCGATACACCTTCAATCTCGAAACCTTGCGCGGCTCGATTGGAAGCACGAGAGTCAATGAGGATGTTGTAGAAAATTCGAGCCTCCGATTGCTTGCAGGCGCTTTTCCTTGAGTTTCCCGGGCCTTCTCGCCTTCAGGGGCCTCAAGGTATTTCCGTTGGCAGCACCCTAATCCTACGCAACTCGTGATCTGCCCGTTTGAACTTGTTTGAGGGGGATTCTGCCAATTTCCTTGTGGCTTTGGGATGGCTTTATGTTATGCTAGGTCAGGTGCGGTTACGCTGTTAATCCATTGTCGGAACTTGCCTGAAAGGATTTAGGGTTCCTGTCCTGCAGCCAATCTTCAAGCTTCAGGAGCTCCCGTTCTTCTTTGTGACTGCTGCTGCTGCCGGGGTTCTCGGCTCCTTGCTCAACCTTATCCATGGAAAGCTGAACAACTTCAGGCCATGCGCCAGTCGAAAAGGCTTGAGGTAAGAGGTAGCAACGTTGATTCGCAACGTTGGGCAAACATGATCCTGTATCACAACACATCCCGAGCAGCAACTCTATAAGAATTTTCAATCAGTGAATCAAACGCGTGACTCTCGTGACGCTGCGTACAAAGCCGTTCTAGTATTCATGTACCGGCATCTCTTTCTGCGTTGGGCCCTGTGCACAAGGCCGTCCAATGACCCACGTGGGTGTAGGCTTGCTCTGATTTGCCGGAGAATTGCTGAAATTGCTCAATTGCAAGTCATGTACAAGCGTTTGAGCGCAAAATCTCCTACCCTTCATATAATCGTCTATTCTATCGCAGGATCCTCGAGGCCTGCACCGTGGTCACGCTTTCCATATCAGCAGTGTTCATCTTATCGCAACAGTTCGGCCGCTGTCTGCCGCAGCCAGACGAATGGTAGGTTGAATGGCGTCAATCTGACTAGCCGGAGATGAGCTCGACTTTTGGCAATTCTTTGATCCCCTTCAACTTTCAGCACGTTCAATGGATCCACGCACCGAAGTGGTTGCCGCTTGCATGCACCAGGATTTGCTAGACTTGCAAGAGAAAGGGAACCACTATGTGCAGGCACCATCCCGGAACCAATGAACATTACGGCATCAAGTTCACCTGCAAGCAAGTCGAAGGAGAACCCCTTTACTACAACGACTTGGCAACCATGTTCATGTCTGTGCCGCACGAGGTGGGTGCATCAACAGAGAAACTTCCTACACTGTTAAACATGCCAGAAAAATACCCCAACAGTGTGAACCTTCCGTTTTCGTAGCCCTCTTTGCATCTTTGCTGCCATTTTGCGCTCAAAGAATTCATCCTAACTGTACATGTCACTCAAATCTTGCCGTTTCATCCCTTTTGTGCAGACGATCAAGAAGCTGTTCAAGATGTCGCTAGCGAGTCAAGGACACAGGGTCTACTTCACCTTGCCCAGCTTGGCCATCTTTGCCAGCGCCTTCTTCTCCATGTTCTGCCTGGCATACGGCCTTGCCGTACCCGGTGGCCTCTTCATGCCCTCGATCATGACCGGAGCTTCTTTTGGCGGCGTCCTCGGCTGTCTTTTCCAGATGTACTTCAAAATGTAAGGATCTCTGACTGAAATCGGCAGGGCATTCGTGTGACTGAGAACGAGCGAATGAACATCAAACAGAATCGTCGAGATTCGCTTGCTTGTTTTACTCCATCTTCCGAGAAGTCTTAGTAAGAACCTCAGTACATCAGAGGGCTAGGCAATGTCAAGCCAGGTCCTACCACTAATCACAAGTCAACTCCATCTGACACCCTTTGTCTTGCAGGTGGGAAATTGAACCGGGTCTGCATGCTCTGATTGGAGCGACTGCTATGCTTGGTGGTGTCTTCAGAAGCTCCATCTCTCTGGTAAGCCTCAGAAGATATAGTCAGTCTGCTTCTTATATATGTCAGCCTCTCAGAAGAACTCGCCTTTTCGTCAACTACTGGAACGCCTTTGATTTCTTATTGGCATTGTGGCTGCGAAAGCAAACCGGCTCCTCCGTATTTTGAAACAAGGATAAGAGTAATATGCGAATGTAACAAAGCGAATTTGACGGTGCAGGTGGTCATCATGGTGGAAGGTACTGGCGGCATAAACTTCATCCTGCCAATCATCTTGGCGGTGGTGATGGCAAACTGGGTCTCGCACCACCTTCACCCGTCTGGCGCTTACGAGAGCGACATCGAGAAGCTCAGTAAGGGTTCAAACTCTCATTTCAGCATACAGCTGTAAATCTTCCGGATCCATTCAATATGAGTGCCACCAAGCCACCGCTTCTGGATGTTGACTACTCGATCTATATTTTGTTTAGCTCTTGGCCTGCTTGTGTCTCAGGTCACATACCCTTCCTTCACGCGGAGGCTCCCCGAAAGCTGCTGAGCTTTCGGGCAGAGGACATCATGGCACATAACGTCGTCGGATTCAGAGAGGTACGTCATACTTTGACCATTCTAAGCCGTTTGTCCCGAACATCGATGCTTGACGAATGTGGAAGTAAAGAAGCGGCATCGAAACAGAATATCCCAATCCCCTCGTGTGATCTTTCCAAGTAGAGGTGTACAAGCAGGGGTGCCTTGAGGTCTTCGTACCAATCTATTACTTTTAAGCGTTTCCCGTAGAGATTTCACGTTCTCAGGCCGAGAGCTCGCTTCCATCTTTGTTCGTAGTCTTCATCTGAGAGCCACGGGGCTGTCTCGGGCGTTGAAGAAATTCTAAAGATCTGTCTTTTTTTCCAGATTGTACGCGTTGCCGATGTTGTCCAGATCCTGCGGAAGACCCTGCACAACGGCTTCCCAGTCTTCTCAGAAGACGGCCGCCTCGTGGGCCTGATTCTGCGCAGTCAGCTCCTTGTCCTTCTAGAACACCAGCATTTTGTGCCGATGCCCCAGCACCCTGGTCACCGGAGCTCGACTCGTCGCGACTCGTTTTCGTCGTCGACCTCAGCCAAGCACCGCATGCTAGAGCGAGCCATGCGGATGTACCACCTGATTCACAACCCGCACAGAAGGTACCTGAATTCTACGCCAGAGACAGTGGATGCGTTGAATGTGGACAGAGATAGGTCAAGCGAAGCTGAGCGGGCGCTTTTGGGAGGAGAACACGACCCGGAAAACGGAGGAGCGAGCAGCAGTCCGAATGGAAGCCCAACAGACGCGGTCGGCAGGGACGTTGCGAACCTGGCTCTGGACCTGACCCCATTCATGAACAGAGCTCCTTTGACTGTAAGTATCATCTCTGGATCGCTCTTCATCGGAAAGGACCACTTGCCTTGTGTCGAATCATCTGCACCCTACTCTGCATCGGGCTTTTCGAAATGACTCCCATGCACGAAGTTTTGAAAGACGCTGGATTGGGTGATTGGTGTATGTCACCGCGTCATCTGCGTCCAAAAAATGGATCGAACCTTTCTGCAGACCAACAGCCCCAGTCTCATAGTAACACTCACATAGCATTCATTGAAGTCGCTGACCTTTTCTACTTCTGTTTTACTTCGACTGATTGGACCTACACTATCCTTTGTAACCTCGTAGGTGAGACGAGAGTGCTCGGCGCAGCGTGTCTACATCCTCTTCCGAAGCCTAGGACTGCGGCATCTCCTGGTCGTCAGCTCAAGAAATCTGTAAGTTTTGCTCGCAAGGAGGTTGATCATGTTAACAGAATCCGCCCTCTTCATTGCACGGAATCATATTGGTCGATTGCCATGAAGCAGCAGACGTAAGTTAGCAGGTGAAACGGAGGCCTAAACATCTATTTCGGTCGCATTTAATTATTTGGACTGATCTGCAGTCCTTGATATGTTCAGATGCAAGCGTGGCTTGGTTCCAGATGGATATGATTATCTCCGTAAGCTTCTCACATCCGGTGAGGTGACTTTTGACTGTTTTTGCAGGGTAATTGGCATCATCACCCGGAAAGACCTTGTCAACGCCGAGAGAACTTTCGAAGGCCGGATCGAGTCGTATGAGGACCAAGTTAGCAGGCACTCACGCCAAGCAACGCCAAACACCCATCCAAGCATCACTAGCCCCATCGCATCCAGCCCCACCCATCACAGAGCGCACACATCGAGTCGAAGCGTCGAGGACGTTCTATTTTCTCTCCCTTGAGACTTGGAATTTGACCCTTATGCTTGGTGGCAGGAGAGAGTTATTCTGACGTCCGGACTGGTGCCCTTTTCACAGATCAAAGTAGGCCTGAGTAGTCGAGTTAATTCTACCCTACATTACGGGATCAAAGCACAAGCATTTAGATTTACCAGTGTCAAACAATGGAGTGAGAATAATCCTCTATCTTCGTCAAATGTTTACGTCGAATATGCTGGAACTCACTGGCAGCCCGTCAGCGTCTTGCTGATCTGGTGAACGGCTCGCTTCAGAGATTGTGCGCTGCGCTTCCAGATGGAGTCAGCCGCTTCTTGCGTTCGAATGGCTTGGTATTGGTGACGTATCGTTTTCAAACGACCGGCGCCCTAACACCTATGGACCTCCTATGGACCACGCAGCTATGTACTAAGGAGCCTGGCTGTCGCACATATACTCAGAAATCAAGGGGCCCGCGCGTGCCGCGGGCCGGGCCGCCGACGGCAACGCTGAGGTACACCTGGCAGGTTGCTACCGTGGCGGCCTTTTGGAAACACTACAGCCATCCACCCCTTCATGTTGCACAAGAGCATTAATTTGCATGCAAGCCGCCCATGCATTGCGGCCGTGACCGCGCGCTGGCCATGCATTTTTTGGTTTCAGAGATTGCATGGGCCTTGATGAGCGGTGAAACCATGTATGTATAAGTGATGCACGTGATTCGACGGTACGTATATAGGTAAACCTGAGTACATTATGTCACAATTGTGTCGTGTGCACATCTAACAATTAGACGCATGATTCGGAGAGTCGATGGAGCGCGATGTCTGCGGGTGTACTCAACTTGTTTTGAATCGCAGATGAAAGCAACTTGCCGTTTGAGAATTATCTTGATTGGACATCTGCCTTCTAGTGCGTTCGATGGAAAATGTTAAAGTCAAGCCTCAGTCCTCTTATCTGGGTGCGAGATTGATCCGACCTACGAACGCGCACCACTAACTCAACCCCCTAAAATTGATCTCTTTTCAAGCACAGAGAGTGGCCGCCCTCTGCCAAGACTGCAACGGCGGACGCAAGGGCTAGCACCACCCACTAATTCCTTATAACGTCCTGATCAAGCTCAGCGTCGTCATTCGTCTTCCAAGTCAATAACCTGCCGGGGCACGGCGCTCTTCTTTTTGACGCTCCTAACTTTCACCTCCTCATTCTGCTCAAGCTTTGCCTGGCATCTCTTCCCAAAGTTTGTCGCATCTCTTAACGGCTCAGCTTTTGGCTTCGCAACCGCGTCTCTTTGTGCACTGGCCGCCGAGTGGAAGTGGCTCTCAGGAGGCCCTGTCGTGGGGATCGGTGCCTCATCTGCAGCCTCGGTGGTGAGCATCCAGTCCGCCAGCAAGGCCTCCAGGAGGATGCGGCACGCCTTCTTGACGGCCATGGATCCGGAGACGCTCTCAAAGGACGACGGCTGCAAAACCAGGAGAATATGTTTTTCAGATCATCTGCATGATTATCAACACCACGTGACGAGTGATCCTGAATTATTTGGGACTTTGAAGAGATCAACTAGATGAGCTGAGATCAGTACAGCGGCCGGAGGTCTGCTGGGTCGCAGCTTTCTACGACTTGCGAAACGAATTACAAAAAGACAAGAATGAACGAAAATCCACGCTTAAGTGGATTGAGAAGATGCGAGCATCTCGAAACCCGCGACTGGCTCTCTCATGCATCAAAAACTTAGCGTGAGGCTCGAGACCTCGCCTCCCAGCCTGGATGACTCGGACGCTGTTTCAAACGAAGCGTGGAACGTTCTCTGATGGGCTTGAGGTCAACCTTCTGTCCAGCCATGAAACAGCCGACGATAGCATCACAGCCTCGTATAACTTTTTGTTCAGTGCTGGAGTACCAGGCAAGAAACTCTTCTCGATACAATTCCAGCTTCGCGTAACAACTGTTCGGGCCTAGAGAAGCTCACCTGGACGCAGCTGGGGCAGCCTTCCGAGCAGTCGCACTCCCGGAGCACGCTCAGCGCCTGCCGCCACACCTCCTCAATCTTGCCGTAAGCCTGCGCAAAGAGTCAACTGATTCAGGAGATCTGCTTCACATGATCTCGTGAAGAGTCTTCCTCTGCAGACTTTCGCCAGAGGCGAACACTCGTTGTCTTCGCAGGCCGAAAAGAATCCTGCGACTCACTCTGCTTTTGATCAGTCGGGTAAACATTAATTGACAGCCATCGCATGCAGGGAATGCTTAGCTCCCGGCAGGGGACCCCGCGGTTCAAGCGGGACTGCTTCTTTCCACAGAAATTGAGGGCGATGGCCAGCGGCAGAGAAGCGGTCTTACCTGCTTGGTTATGCCGATGCCGCCCGGGTATGCATCGAAGATGAACACCTGAAGAAGCAAGAGTAACAGTCAGGGCTGGCATTGCTCAGGACGCTGAGCCTAGATGAGGTGTCAACCGGATTCCCCGCGACAGTTGTATTGGGGTATCGAGGCGTTGCCCCACGTTACGAGATTTGCGAATATGCACAAGAGGAATGCCTAAGTCTAACATGGACTTGTGTGCCTAACCGCATTCCAAGCCAATCTATTCATCAGATTTACGCCGCTACATCCGCTTTGTTCAACACCTGCTTACGTTTTGATTCTGCAAAATCGGTGCTTCTGCACTAGAGCTCTGAGCTTTCTCAGAAGTCAGCTATCTTGTTGGACAATATTCGCCTCCCAGAATGGCGAGTCATGGCGAGGACCCTCACAAAGACACGAAAGCCAATTAGACACGAGGAGGGGCAATGACAATCGATCAAGAGAGCTTCTGATTGCACCTGCGGTCTCTGCGTGGCCTCCTGACTAAGCACGGCATGCCCTCCGATATCTTGGCGGTCCACTGCAAAGATTGGGAAAGAGTGCAAGCTTTTACCTTTGCTTGTATCCTCCCAACAATCAGGCAGTTTTGCTTTCGCATTGTGTTCAAAAGGAGCCCACCGAGTTATAACCTCATCCTTTGCAATGTCAGAATCGTCAAATCAGGAACCTTGGGCGACCATCGAAAGACTTTGATAGGCAGGTTCAAGGAGCAAGGAAGTTCGAAAGCCGCTGAGGAAGGCGAAGGTGAACAACACGCTTATCGCAAGCTGCAAAACGAAGCACATCAGTGATGGACCTCCCTTGTCCATGATTTTGCAAATTCAGTATTCAAGGCTGGAACCTAAGAGAAACGAAGTCCTGCGATTCAAAGCATGCAACTACCAGAAGCTACAGTCTTCTAGCCAAGAAAATGCTGAATCACAGCCCCCATGAATCAGAGGTCAATCCGTCCGCCGGAGAATGCCTTCTCATGCATGGCGCGCAGGGTGAGACTGACGACGCAGAAGCATTCGTTTGAGGGGGGCGCAAACAAACGGCTTCGGCTCACTTAGGGAGAGCTGCGGCAGGATGGAGATGACCATGCGCTTCACGCCGTTCATGGCGTCCATCAGGCTGCCCTCCTGCTCCAACCGGTACACCGCCTCGGGGGGGACGTCCCACCACTGGAAAGAGGGGGGGATTTGTTAGGAAATGAGCAGAGACATCCGATTTCGGCAGTGGAAATCCACCTCGAGACTGTAACATTGCAACTCGAAGTGCAGCGCGCGTCGACGAACGATGCACTTGGCAATTAGTAGATTGAGCGGTGGACGGAAGTTATGAAAGCACAACAAGTAGCTGGGATTCTCCCATCCTAGACTTTCAGGGGCTGGCGATGCCGGGCTTCAAAACTGGGCAGTCTTCAAAAACAGATGTCAGCAATTAGAGCACGCTTTCAATCCCTTAACACGTCCAGACACGAACTAGTACGAGCGCAACCCTTTTAGGTGGGGGAGCGTATCGACCACTCACGATCGCACACGTGTCGTACTCGGTGGGCGGCAGCTGCAGGGAGCACTCCTCAATGACCTTGTCGTGCAGAATGTGCTTCTTCTGGAAGCCTACGATGGACTCGGTCACCTTGACCTGCGAAGTGGAGGGGCGACGGAGGATGAGGCTTACTCAGTCTTATTCGGACAGTGTGGGGATTCAGAAGCGAGCTTTTCTGATGTTGGAAAGCGTCGTGCACGGTCACGCGGAAGCTCTTAAGGGAGCGTTACCAGAGCAGCCAAGCGCCTGGTCTAGAATGGCTACGCATCAACGACTGCTACAAACAACGCCAACAACTAATTCAAAGGCCCACCGTTCGGGACAGTCGTCGATTCGGTCTTTGCACGTTTATGATACAGAAACCGATTGTTGCTCAACTCAGCAGTCTATCCTCTGTTGAATACGTAAGATTCACAGCAACAATGAGATGTCGCCCCGCTCACCGTGCCAAACTCCAGCTGAGCTGCCAACGCCTTGCGGGACTGCTGGGACTCGAGGATCCTGACGGAGATCTTCTCCTTCACCTCTGCGGAAAGAGAGTATCACACGTCATGTCCTCTTCCGAAACCCGTGCCCATTGACAGCATGAGGCTGGTCTTACTTAAGAGGAATATAAACGTCGCGAGTCCGTCCACGCACCACTTAGTCGCGACGAACGAAACCTCGCTGCAGGTTATGCTGATTGTTACCAAAAGGCCGTCTGTCCGAGCGAGCAGTTGATGCCAAAAGCGTCTGCAAATGACGTGTGGGTTGCAGATATTGCAGATTATGGACAGCAGAGAGTGCTCTGACGAGGGGCTTGAGAGTGCGTACCCGTCAGGAACTCGGGGCTACAGCTTCGAACGGTTGCCTTCCGCCCCTCAACGTCTAGCTCGAGGACCTGCAGGGAGCGCGCAAAATTATTCGCTGACGCCCATATCACAGGCAGGTAGGCTGTTGCAATCGGTGTATAGAATCGTCCCGATCCAATCTGCGCCCGTTTCCGAGGACGAAAACAAAAGTAACGCCTTGCTGATCCTCACCTGGTACGAAAGACTCCCGCTGGTGCCCTTGACCAACTATTTTGCTGCTAATTCTCCACCGTTTCACTTTGTGGGCTTGATCCGAAAGTTTGTGCCCGTTAACCAGGCAGATCAACAGTAAACCGGCTCTGGTTTGTAAGCTCGGTCCATCATAACGTGACCTTAAACAGGATGAGTCAGCAGAAACCCGTTGCAGCCGCTCACCTGGTACGACTCCCGCTGGTGCAGAAAGATGGCCCCCTCGTGGATCCGCCGGAACGCGGTCGCCTTCTCGACCTCCTCGATGAACCGGCCGTCCTCATCTTCCACCTGAGGCGTCAGAGAAAGGATTATATATGCAATCGAAGTCCCTCCTTTCGTGGTTTATTCTCATTCTCGTCGTTTTGATTGTTTGTGCTCCTTGTTGAGTAGTATGTGGGAAAGTTCCAGTGCTTTCATCCATTTCGTCATCCCTTTCCAGGACAAAAGTAAACAGATCCTTTGAAAGTTCGCAACGAACCTTCTTTTGTGGCTCATCTATTCAACACACGGCAGCACGCACTTCCAAAACTGGCACTAGAGGGGTAACCTTTGGGGGCCATCCGCAACACGTGTACTTAAGAGAAAGGGTGTCGAAAAATGCAGCTCGAAAGCCCGTGTCCATTCCCAACCCCTTACAGGACGCCCTCAAAATAGCAAAAGGTGCGCAGCTAGGACAAAGTTCCACTGGAATCTGGGTCCAAGTCTGACTCGGAAAACCCTCAAGAGGCGGCAAGAATAGGCAGTCATGAGACATAACTGATGAAAGGAAAATATACACTACTGCGCACCTTGAACGGATCTTGTGCCGCCCCCCGGATATTGAACTTCGTGGCCGGATTGTCGTCCCACCGGTACGTGTACTGGTCGCCTCCGTCCGGGCCCGGGACGTACCGCAGTTCGGACGCCTCCACAAGCTCGTCACGAACGCGTCCGAAGTCGGACCCAAACAGCGCTTCGTCCTCCTCTGCACGTGAGGAAGGCAGCGAAGCTTGAAAGAAAGATGTCAACCAGACCTGAACGCAGCATTTCGATTGACTTCTCTTCTCTCCGTTGATCTGTCCTCAATGGAGAGGATTGAAGTCAGAGGTAGAGACAGTACCTCTCTTCGCCTGCAGTCATCTTTTGGTCTGTAAAACCACCCAGCCGCTGCTGTCAACAACTCGATCTTACAAAAGACGAGCGCAGGAAGGCGCGAAGCAGAACTTTGCCGTCTTCTCAAAGCTTATGAGGATCTAGTCCGCTGCAAATGCTTCGTCCACGCAGAGGGATTCCAAAAGACCTCGGCGATCGCAATGAGACAGAGCATACATGGCACGAGGATCAAGGCACAAATTCAAGCTGAGAAAGATTCGTAAAGACAAGTCGACGCTTGCCTGTGAGCGGCAGCTCGTTGGCGGCGCACGGCAGGTGCATCCTGAGCAGGTACGGGTTGAGCGGGTCACACAGTGCGTCCTCGATGCCGCGCGAGAAGAGCTGTGGAAAGAGAAGGAAGCGAGAGCGAGCCTAAGTTCACAGCGAATTGAGTAGTACAGATAGTACTTTGCTTGCTCGAGTATTCCAAAGAATGGGTTGCAAAACACGTCCCGGACATTCGAGCTGACGTCACCAAAAATATGCTGACGTCAGCACTCGCCTGGTCGGGGTGGCGCATGTAGTGCTGGTCCAGCGGGCGCTGCTGCCCGATGATGACGGCAAGTGACGCCGTCTGGCGCCGCCCCGCGCGCCCGATCTGCTGCCACAGGCTGGCCATCGTGTCCGGCAGGCCCACGTGGACGGTGCAGTCCAGCTGTCCAATCTGTCCGGAACAGGGTTAAGCACCAGGGTTAGCGTGACAGCTGAAGAACATGCGCGGTTTTCGGATGTGGGTCACAAGTGGGAGCACGCTTCAACGCCCAGAAAAGAGGCACACTGTCGTAATTGCCGCAAAAGGTCTGCCGGTCAACTACCCGAACCCTTCAGAATGGTTTAAGCAATCCAGATGGTGCTTTCATTTATTCTCAATGTTTCCAAAGAAGATGAGAATCTGTTAAATTCGCGGTCAAAGCGAAATTGGACAGAGAGTGCGGTATGGGGAATGCGCCTCTTGGTGCCTTTTCTGTCGATGTCCAGGTCTAGTGTGGCTCGGGATTCTGCAATGTCTCCTAGCGAACAGAAGGCGGTTTGAACAACAGGGATATCTTGAAAACAAGTAAACCTCAACGGAATGAAGTGCAGACAAATCCTGCCGGCAAGAATTAGTTCTGACGGCTGGCAGCGGCTTACATCAATCCCAAGTTCCAGGGCGTTGGTGGACACGAGCGCTCGAAGGTCGCCGTTAGCTAGGCTCTGCAAGAAGGGGAGGAGCGTCACAACATTGGACTAATAACTATCCCTCCTTCTCTTGCTTGCGCGTCGACCAAAGCGACAATGACCACCTTCACTTTGGCTGGGGTGCTCTGTCTACTTTCAGAAGGGTTGCCAACCGCTCTACTTGAGAGGTGAATTCAGCGTCGGTGCATCTGACTGTCTTGACCAATCATTGCTTTGAGGACTTCATGCATTAAAAACACAACCGTTTAAATTTTGCGAGAAGGAAAGCACTTCTTCAGCAGTCTCCAGCAGTCTGAGATATGTGTTGTATTGAAGTACGTCAAATACTCTTGTCTGGAACAAAAAAGAGTATAGGAGAGGCGCCACCGGTCGCCGACCTTTTCGAGCCTGCGGCGCTCCTCGGGGGTGTAGCCTGCTCGGTAGCTCTCGACCTTGTCGATCAGATCGAACCGGTTCTGCACACACCAACACAGAAGCTTGTCTTGTGACAGTGGAATCTTAGCTACTAAAAGAGGATCTAAGCAGGTCTTGAGCATAAAGGTGAAAATGGTAGGTAATGTCTGCAAAAGGGAGCATCATCTATAATCGTTATAAGGAGTCGTCAGAGCTGCGCGCAGTCCCAAGCAAGAGGTGATCCGCGGAAGCACGAACACGAACAGAAGGCAGAAGCATTTGAGTAGCAGAAACGCGTCTAAGAGGAGCGCCGTCTCACCTCTTGTTTCAGCATGTCGCGAGCGGTGTTGCACACGATCTCGGTCAGCTTGCGCGCGGCGACAAACACTAGCGTCTGGAGACCCGCCTTCACCAGCTCCGCCTGCGATCAAAGATAAAGACTGGGTATAAGGGCTTTGCAAAAACATGAAGGAAAGAAGTGGAACGAGATAGACTAAGAAGGAAGCTTTTAGACATTGTCGGTCAGCTTCCGCACGGCGACAAACACTAGCGTCTGGAGACCCGCCTTCACCAGCTCCGCCTGCCATACACAGTGAAGACTGGGTATAAGGGCATTGCAAACGATAAAGGAAAGGATCGGAAGGAGAAAGAACAACGCATATGACTATTTGTCGGTCAACTTGTGCGCGGCAATACCAGCGTCGGGAGACCCGCCTTCACCAAAGTTCAGCCTGCAATGAGAAGCAGGAACTTGCTGTAGAAGTAGCGTGATAATCAATCGAACATATTACTGGAAGGAGGAAGAGTAAGAGAGAGAAAGTTTCTTGCAAGGATCCACATGTTTACAAATGCGTCGACCTGCTGTGATTCGCACCACGCTTTCTGGCGGCCTCCGACGAGCGCCTGCGTTCGTAACTTCCTCGGAGGATCGAAGCTACGTTCACGCAGCCTTTAGCCTTAATGCAGTTCAGAAGCAGAAGCTTAAGTGGATATGCACCCCACCGTGATCTTGGCGGCCTCCACGTAGGCGCTCTTGCGCTTGCCGTCGCCGTCCTTGGCGAGCGCGGGCTGCCAGAGCACGATGTGGCGCGGGCCCAGGGGCGCGCCGCTGCCCTTCACCAGCTGCGTGTCCACCTTGCTGATCAGCCGGGACACGTGCTCCTGGGGGATTCGAAACCTAGGGTCAACGAGGTTTTCTCGGAGATTTCAAGATTCATTCTTACTTCTTTTAGAAGGCCGTAGCTTTCGTCATGGACCTAACGGGTGCCCGTACAGACATGTCACGAGTTCGATCCTTGAAATCGAGAAGCTACTCTACCACTAGACTACCAAAGTAGGGTTCACTTTTTGCAACTACACTCATCTCTGGCTCATCTCTAAACTGAATTTAAGTAAGTACTGTCAGCTATGATGCTACTAATCATCTAATCATAATCATCTAAGATGAGTTTAGACTTTCGAGAATTGGGTTGCCATTTTTTCGGAACTCGGAAGCAATTTTTTTTAAAGGCAGCGCGAGAGGTCGGAGTCGGAGTCGGTAAGGTACCGGTGGAGTTTCTCAATCACCCTCGTCAAGTCTGCGAAGGATTACAAGGGCGAGTATTGTTAGCAGTTGGCCGTCCGCGATTCAAGAATGTTGATTACTGGAATTAATTAGAGTCCTGATGCGGCAAACGACGGATCTTTGTAAGAGTGCCGCTGTCCTGACTTAACTGGGAAGATCGACCGGGATACTCAACGAGCTGATTTAGAAGCATTGCATCGGTAAGCCTCCAATTACGGATCTTAAACACAGGCAGACGGCGCCACATTTGCTCCGACCCTGGAAACGAGGACGCCAGCAAGAAAAGATGATCCAAAAAGTCACAGGGAAAATAACAAAAGAAGCGCACCACGGGATTGTTGATAGTGGCCGAGCAGCAGATGAACTGGGGCGTCCCTCCGTAGTGTTGAGCAACCCGGAGCAGTCGCCGCAGCACGAGGCCCTGCGGAGGACCGGCGTGAGGAATTAAGCTAGCGAGCCTCGACCATTTTGAGACACTTCTGACCACTTGCCCGTCCCTCAAAAGGTAAGTCTGGTCGATGTGGATTCCACTCTCTCTTTAAAGGCTCAAGCCGACACCGCACTGTAAGGAAACGGGTGTGTACGCAGGTAGGCCGGAATGGAGGAGGGCGCCAACCAAGGCGCCGTTTCTCATTAAGCACGGACGATAACTGCAGGCGTCTACCAAGATGAATGGGGTCACTTCGTCGAGCGGGGGCGTGAAAGAGCTACAGCCAATACTGGACGTACGGAAACCTGATCTGAAGATCATAACCGACCGAAAAGCCGCAACTGGTAGATCATGTTTTATTTGGGTCAGCAAAAGGAAGGACAGCATGATGAGGAGTGGACGAGGATGATATTCCAGGCGGCTCACCACGTGGCTGCCGAAGGCGCCCTTGTAGTGGTGCGCCTCGTCGATGACGCAGAACGCCAAGTTAGCGAAGAAGGCCTTCCAGTACTGCAAATGGGTCACAGCTTTGGTTAAGCACAAGGTTAGGGTCGAGGTAGCCAGTAAATCAAAGGCTGTAGTGAATCGAGGGCTTGGATTGATAGGGTTGTTACACTTAAGATTTTGCGATTGAAAACGGCCCGAGACCTATGAGTCGGACCCCTGGTTGACCTCAGCCTGTAAGAAATCTTGGTCGGGTTGCACACAACCCGATGCCCCTCGGGTCGGCCACTTTACGACCCGACCCGACGTTTGCCCGAGCCCCCGACCGAAAGCGGGGCCTCCGGCACTTGCCAAAAATGGTCAATGTAACCAACATGGCATTTGCCTGAGCCTGATCGGGCTCGTCGTCTCGATCGGACCCTGTTCACGCCCAAGTGTAACAAACCTATGAGCCTGACGTTGCGGCTGATGTATTGTTCAGCTTAAGGTCCGAACGAGAGCAGTTGCACGTGCAGCACGTTCCTGGTTCCAACCTCAGCAACAGGGCGCTTCGAAAAATGACGGAGCTTCCACGAAAAGTAGGCAGCAGCAAATAGACGCCATGGCGTTTGTCGAGTAGAGACGTCGCATGTTGCATGGCCGCGAAACAAGCGCTCGAAGGTACCGGACCGACCAATGCTATTGGCGTCCCTGTCGGTGACCCGCTCTCTCGACGCCCCTCGCTGCGCTAGGCTTCGGTCGGTAAAACATTTCAATTAAAAAAGGAAGTAGAGAAGGAAAGAGCACCGTCGCTCACCGTGTGGCGCTGCAGAATCGTCTGGTGGAGCATGTCGGGGTTGGTAAAGATGATCTAGAGCGGAGAAAAGTGCGAGTTAGCTAATCCCGGCGGCTTTGCTTCCCTTTCTTGAACTCTTGAACGTGCCGGCTTCGAAGAGAACGAATAGTGAGTCGGCAAGTCATGGCGAGCTCCGCCTCTTCCAGGTCTCAACCAGATTGCATTGCAAGTCGCGCCATCTATCCAGGAGAGCTGCGCTCGATTCCCGTAGGATACACCAGCTTTTCGTCAGAAGTTAATCGCAAGCGCTAGGTTCCCGGTGGATCTGAGTAGGACTGGGGGCCCTTCAGAAAGAAAGGCAAGGTGCTATGCAAAGCAAGCATCAGAGGACGTCAGACAAGCTCGGTGCAACTAACCTGCGCCTTTCTGCATATTTGCTTCCGATCTTCGAATAGCGTGTCTCCATCGTACCTGGCAGACGACGTAGCACATTTTTGTCAAGAGTAGCCTACGCATTGTTTGACGCATGATTGCAGAGTCTGCTTTTCGTCAGAGGAAGAAGAGAAGCGGAATCGAATCCAGAGTTGCGGTCTCCAATGCACCGTGCCCTAGCGGCCTTCCCTTTGTATCTCTGAAGATGTACAATCCCAACACAACATTTGACAATATGCGTGGAGGCTCGAGAATTTCTTCAATCGCGCCTAATGCTGACGGCTGGGAACCATCCATTTTCTCAGCACAGAATAGACAAGGGTGAAAGCAAGCGATGTACAAAGTCAAAGGACACTGACAGTTCGCAGGAGACCCCCGGCTTGACTATGGCCACAAGTTCCCGCATCGCTTTGAGCTGGTCACGTGCAAGCGCCTGCAAGCGGAAGTCAAAGGCAGAAAGTCATCTATGTATGGCGATGTCTCACAATTGTCAGAATCATAGGAAGGCAGGCCCCCGCGAGAGAAGGGAAAGGAAAAGACTTCAACGAGAAAATAAGAAATGAAAAAGAAAGCACTTTGAATAGCCGGAACTTGCGGGAAGATAAGCCTTCCAGAAAGGCACGAGTAGGAAAAATCTGCGCTCCAAAGGATAAGCAAGATTCCAAATCCCCAAGTGCGAAGCGCCATTGCAGACGTCTCCATCATGCTTGGCGAATCCCCTTGCTGAGCATCGCATTGGTCGGATCTGACACCCAGAGCCCGGAACCTCTGCAATCAAACCATTCTACCAGCCTTACCTTGGTGGGGAAGACGAGGAGAGCCCGAGATTTTGGGATGGTCAGGATGGCGTCAAGGACCTGCACCGTCAGCAGAATCGGATAAAGCTAGGCTTTTCTTCTTCGACATGTAGAAAGTCCCGTTTCGACGTAGAAGAGCAGCCTCTATTCGTTTGATCTGTGCCCAGTCGCCATGCGAAGAATCAATCAGCAGTAGAGAAACGCTTCTGGCAGGATGTTGGCAATCGTCAATTTCAAGGGGGCCCCTTGCGATGCATCTGGAAAAGCAGCGACCTCTGCAGGCTCTTGCGAAGCTGCGGTTCACAACGGGAAGGCAGAAAAGGGTACACCTCTGTTCGACGCCGTAGTCGATCTGTATGCCCAACTGGTCCAAATAAGTCGATATCCCAGCTCATGATGCTTCTCATGATAGAAGCGAGTACCGCAATCGTTTCCCTGAAGGATTCGAAGCTTGGAAGGAACAAGTCGACTCACCGGGATGCAGTACGTGAGACTCTTTCCACTTGCCGTCGGTGTGGCTGCGACCAAGCTACTCCCGCCAAACACGTGGGTGATTGCCTCCGCCTGGTGCGAGTACAGCTGGGTGACGCCCCTGCCACGTGGCAGACCAACATTTGTCAGCCTTATTCAAAGGTAGACTAGGGTAACAATTTCGTCTCCTGCCTTTGCGCGGTGTAGATGTGCCTGTCTGCTGTCCGAAGAGAAGGTCTGCTCCGAACCGCATACAAACTGCCGGATCTACTGGCTGTCCGAGAGAATGCTTTGCTCAAAACCGCATTCAGACTTCCTCCCGTGCTGTCTGAATGGCTAAGCAGCTCTAGGACTGCTGAGGAGAGTCTCATGTTCTCGGCTGCTTGCGAATCGTGATTGCGACCAGCTTCGTGAGGAGAGCAAACGGAGCCGGGTGCTGCAGCCTTGCCCCTCACCTTGCAAGCAACGCTTCTTCGATCTTTTTCTGTAGCGGCCACTTGGACTTTTGGTGAACGGCAGGTCTGTTGACGACAGGGGCACGAGTAAGTTTCAGACATTTAACGTACAAGTGGTTCCCAAGTCTCGCTCCATTCGGGAACTTTCTGGAACTCAATCTAGGTACTTGGAAACGGACGCACTTTCAACGAAGGGACGGAAAAGTGAAGAATTTGAACGGCGCCCAATTGCCAGAAAATTGTTGAACCGACGGATGTCAATTCTCCCTTCCTTTCAGACTGAGAAATAAAAGCAAGCCGCCGAGAGGTACAAAGCAGAATTGAAGGGGACCACCAAAGCCATACCACTCACTGTGCTGGCTGCGACTCCACATGCACGATCTGCCCCTCGTCCGCCACTTTGCGCCTCAGCCGCTCGAGCGCCTCCTCCACTCGGTCCTCCCCTAAACCCGTCTCGAAACCCGCCCCATAACCCGATCCCACCTTAGCCAGTCGCTTAGGCTTCCTTCCAGACCCCTTGCCCACTGTCCGAAGCACCCTCCCCTTCAAACTTGCCACCGGACTGTCCGAACCCGCCCCCTTGCTCCCAACTTTCTTTTCGGACCCGCCACTGTCATTGCTGACGTCATCATCCGTGTCGCTGTCCAAGATGCACGATTTGGGCGTCAGCTTGGCACCCGCTTTCTTTTCAGAGGCGGGCGCTCTCTGTCTGGTCACAGGAGCAGGCGTGGGCTTCCTCTCCGACTTGGGAGGATCCAGTGGAACCTGGGGATCCCTCTTGCAGGAAGCGGGAAGCTCATCTTCCTCCTCCAATTCGCTGTCACTCTCCACCACCCTCTGCTTCTTTCTAGCTGACCGCCCCCCTGCCTCTCTCTTTCTGGGTGTGGCTTCTCCAAAATCTGGCTCAGGCGGCCAGACTGCTTCCGCCGGCACGTTCTCTCTCGCCTTCCCCAAACCGCTTTGCAGAGGGTTTGCTTGCAGGACACGCGTTTGCCGTCCCTCCCTCTCACTCCGCTCTATACCTACCGGTCCCTCACCCTGCCACGAAGTGCTCACCCCGTTTCCGTTTCTTCCCACACGCCCCTGCCAAGAGTCCCACCTTTTGGCACTCCGCTCCCCAATACTCTCCCCCCGCTCCTCTGTCTCCCAAGCCCGCTGGTTTGCTGCGTCAGCTTCCCTGTCCCCGCCTCCCCTCCCTTGCCCCTCTATCGCTTCCCCTCTCCCACTGACACCCGCAGCAACACCTCCTCTCCCGCCCCTTCCCGCTACTGTCCGCTCCTGGGCGTTCTCAAGCTCCGCCACTCGCCGTCTCCTTTCCTCCTCCTGCCGGAACGTCTCTTTCGACGCCTGGTGCGCCAGGATCAGCGCGTCTAGCTCCGTGAAGTCGGGCTCCGGCAGCCAGCTCAGATCATCACTGATTGGCTTTGTGGTCGCAGTCCTCGGCTGTCCGCTTCCGGCCTGTGGCTTGCTCTGCCTAATCGTGGTTTCTAGGGGACTGCGCGCATCTACTGGCTCAATGACTGTCCTTGCTGGACCTTTGATCGGCCCTCGTTGACTGGGAGGGGTTTCGGTGGACATCCAGGGAGGGACTGCCGCAACGCTCGGAGGGGCTTTCTGACCGTATGCGTGTGGCTCAAGTACACTGGATCTGCTGGGGGGAATCGCTGCAGGAGTCGCGCGCACCGCAGCCCCAGAAGCCTCCCACTCTCGATTCAACTCAGGGGGAGTTTTCTGGACCAAAGAGATGTTTGGCGGCGGTTGGAAAGTGCTTGGGATGGATTTAGGGGCTGAAAGTGCACTTGGTGACTGGGGAGGATTGAACAATGGGGCTGCTTGCTGCTGAGCTCTCTGCAGATTCAACATAGGACCCTGTGGCCGGCATGTATCTGCTGGCGACGTCCCTGCTGCATCCGAAGCACTTGGCCTGCTTGGATCCTGCTTTAATCCTCTTTCTGCATTCTGCAGCCATTCACCCTGCGGCCTATGTGCCGTTCCCTCTACTTGGACAGGGCTTGGGGTTGGCTTCAAAATGCTGCGTGGGTTTGCTACTGGCGGCAGCTTCGATGGTATGTCTGTCTCGCAGGGGGGTTGCGGCACCTTGGATGTCGCAGATGCTAGTTCTGTTGATTCACATTCGGCATCTGTATCCTCGCCCTCCGCCCCGTGACCCTCGGTGTCCCCACCGTTTGTGCTCTCCGCCTGACTATCTGCATCCTCCCCACTTCCTTTCTGTTCAGCTTTACAGCTTCTGAGCAATGCAGCAACTGGTGCTTGGAGAGGGCTGCTTTTGCGGCGTTTTGCCACCGGTTTGACCGGCGTCTTGGGCGTCAACTTGAGTGCGGCTGAAGCCCTAGAAACCTTCGGTTCAGCCGCCAGGGAGAAGGATTCGGTGTCAAGCCGGGGGGGTTCTGAATCCAGGTCGATGGTTACCCTTGCTGCTGAAGGACCCTTCCGCTTCTTCCATCTGCTTGCTCCTTCCTGCAAGACCCAGAACCAGACTCTATTCCACGGTCCAACCCCACCGCGATGGCTGACTTAAAATGGTGGTATGCTTCCCAAAGACAGAGTGTAACTTTCACATGAACAAAATGCACTTCCTTAATTTGAGTGATTCAATGGACTTGGTGCAGTCAAACCACACCTCTTCTGCCGGGCCTGTCCTCATGAAGAGGGGGAAACGTACCAGATGACATTGGGAAGTAGCAACTTGATTGCAGCAAAGAAGGGTTCTGTTCACAAACATTGTGGTAGCAGCAAATGGCAGCACGCATGGTTTTGTATGAACCTCGCTATGTCTGGAAGTTCTTCGGTGACTGGCGGATTGCAGGAAGCAGAATTTCAGATCGGGAAACTTGCTTTGAATTGAAGAAAAGGACTAACCTTGCTTCCTTGTGATGTTGCTTTGTTATTGCCAGGATTTGAATCGCATGCGTCCAGCGCGACGTCTTCCTGTGTCAGGTCAATCATGTTCACAGCTAGCTGTTGCAGAGCACAACTTGGCCTTGGGTAATGGATCAAAGTCAAATTGCCATTTTCACCATTTCAATGTAAGTAGCAGGTTGAGAGAAGCAGAAGGCTTGTAAACAAAAGTGCCCCTGTTCCCCTTTCCGAGCTGGCATATTGCTCGAGTCCGACACTTGCACCCTTCACAAAAAGAATGGAAGCTGTGCTTAGGACTAGATTTCAGCTCAGGTAGTGCTCATCTGCGCCCAGCAGTGAATGCCAGCAGCAACGCCCTTCCCTTCTACCTAGGTACCTGATAATCTGATCTGAAACAGGAAAAGAAGCAGCTGCCCCAACAACATGGCGTCGGAAGGTGTCGCACTTGCAAATGCTGGCAAGGGGTCCCGTCATAAGTTTGAAGTTGGAGCGTCCGATTGCATTTGAATAGAGGGCATCGACGGTTGACATCGAACGAGACTCGAAACCCTCTGAAAACCCTGGATGGAAAATTCTTCGCAAGCGCGGCCGCGCAACTGGAGCACGCGGCCTGGCCGCCGGGCCCTAATGATGCTCAATGGCGGCCGCCCTCTGAGTGACGGGTATGCGGCCAGATGCGTTGAGACTACAAAAGTATGTAATATTCCATGCCAGCCATGCTAGCTAGCTTCAAGAACATTCAACGAACGGTTTGAAAATTTGAACTAGTCTTGTCGGAATCAAGTTTCTGATGAATTCTCAATGGAAACGACATGAATCTACACGACGGACATAAGCAAGGAGCTGGAATAAGCAAGCTCATTCGATCAAGGGCAAGCTTGGCCACTGGCATTTGCAACATTAACTTCAAAATTCTTTCTTGTTCCAATCCTTATACACGCAATCTATCTGTGATATACCGCTTAGTGTGACTTCTCACATCAATCAAACTGCCCTCAAATCATGCCCTGCCAGTATTTTTATTGCTGTCTAATTTGTTTCAAGTTTGGAACCGCTGCTATTTTGACGCCAGCTTCACAGCTACTATGTGTTTTGACTACCAATACCTAGCTCTTGACATCATGCCAGCTCGCCTCTGTACAAAATTGTAGCAGCTTGACACTTCTATGTATTATGTTCAAAGCCAGCAATAAGCGGATTAATCTACCAGCTTATCTACCTAGCAAGTTGCAAGCCATCACCGATACTGCTCTGTACAAGGTGTGTAAGTTCAGCGCACGCTAGAATCCGCAAGCACCCAAATCAAACCTTCACATATCGTTTATATGCACAGTATAGTGCTCCAATCATTCTATCAAGAGTATGTACAAGCTCTCACACTGAATGCAAATCCTTGCTTCTTACAAATCAACGCGAGCAATCGCGGCTGCCATTCATTGGCTCTTGTTGCAAAGTCTATCCAGCTTTGTGCAGGTTAGTTGGAAAGAAGGTGCTCCTGCAAAAGAGTGGCCGAAAGTTGTGAGGCACGCGGTCGAAATTGACAGCACAGGAAAAGTGCAGCTCTAGTCCTGCGGCCAGCACTAGATAGACACAAGACTCATGATGCAGGCAAGCCATTTCTTGCGGCGATCCGTATCGATCGCCAAAACAAATATTCAAAAGAGGTGTAAAGGAAGGAGGGAAACAGCGCGTCTTTTAGATGATTTGCAAAGAATAGCCACTCCATGTGACCGTCCAAAATAGGTCAATCCTTCTGACGCGTGCACGGGTTCGCTGGCGCTCGCATCGATGCCCACGTCGAGCTGGCGGTTCGTGAAAGAAAACGCGGTACCCAATGCCACTCCTTCTTGAACAGTTTCAGTACGCAAATTCGAAAGGAAGATTGCTGTCGAACGAAGATGCATTTAAGCGACCAACGACTCGACCCAGCGCACACAAGCCTTGACCAACTCCTGCTGACACCACGGGAAACCGTCCAACTGCTCTGCAAATACTCAAGAGGCTAAAGCCCCAAAGATTAGCTGCTCACTCTCGTTGTGCGCGCGTGCTTGTCCAGGTACGGCATGTAATCGGTCCCCCCCGTGCCCTTCTCGTCGACCAGCTTGCTCTGCTTCTTGATGTAAGAAAAGGCAAATGACTGCAAATAAACAACGGGGGAGTCAGCTGAAGATATAAATCTCAGACGAACCAAGACTAGACCGATGTGCACAAAAGGAGACGTACAAGTCGCCCACTCGACCCCAGCGCTCGTGCCTGAAGATACTTCAACGGTGGAAGAAGCTCCAGCGAAGCCTGGTGGTGCAGGTTTTTTGCGAGCAACCAAGGTTGGTGGGCTTAAGTACTTGCTTCTTGTTGCACTGCACTACTAACATTTGTGACACAGCGCTGGAAAGGAGCTGTCCCCATTCATAGACCAAACCATTTACCCTGTCTGATTCGGATCGGGTCAGAAAGACCCAACAACTAATTCCTGAAGCAGGGTAATAAACCTTCAGTAAGGATTGCGCCCGGGCTACTTAACAACGGCTAACCGTCACCTAATCACCGCCTCGAGGCTTGGATGGTTCTGGATTGCTTTGATACATATTTGCCATCAAATTGATCTGGAAATTTTAATCAACCACTGACCTTGTGCTGATTACGGAACGCGTACAGCTCCCTCAGCGCCTCATCGTACGGCCCCGCCAGCTTCTCAAAGTGCTCCTGCACGAAGGCGCGAATCGACGGCCCCTGTTCAATCGCCTGAAGCGCCCGGCGATGCTCCCCTGGCATATGCTCGCGCATGACTCGCAGGTAATCGGAGAGCCAACCGGGCGGGTGCTGCACCCCGAGGGCGGCGTCGAGCGCGGGCAGCACCGCGCTCTGCGCCCCGGTCGCGCCGTAGTGCTTCATGGGCTCCTCGGAAACTCCCTGGAAAAAGAAGCAGTAGAGACTCAAACAGTAGTTCCTTGCGGATAGTGACCCCTCCAAAGAGGTGAATCGGGGGCAAGACGCATAATCAAAATACGAACACTAAGGACGCGCCAAGTGCTTCATGGGTTCCTCGGAAACACCCTAGAGGAAAAAATAGGAACTAGCTTTGAAATTGACTTGTGGGTAGAGACCCCTTCAAATAGGGTCGCGCCGTAGTACGTCCTGGGCTCCTCGGAAACGCCCTGGAGGAAAAAGCAGGAATTAGTTCTGGTTACTTGTGGATAGTGGCCCGCTTCAGATTGATTAATTGGGGGCAATACGAGCTCTGCAAAGTCACACCAGAATCAAATAACGAAACCAATGACTCGCCGTAGTGCTCTACGGGCTCCTCGGAGACGCCCTGGAGGAAGAAGCAGTGACTCGTTTTACTTACTTGAGGAAGCAGCTACGTGTAGGAGCGGTAACTAGTTCTATCTACTTCTGGATATTGAACCCTTCAGATAGGTCAATACGAGCCAATACGAGCTCTGCAATGTCACAGCCAGAATCAGAATGCGAACACCAAGGACGCGCGCGCCCGTAGTGTTTCTTGAGAATCTCAGAGGCCCTCTGGGCCTCTGGAAGAAGAAGCAATAAATATCTTTAGTTAAGTAAGACTGTGTGCCCTTCGATTTGATATTTGCAGGCAATTGCTGCTTTCCAAATACTTAGAATGAAAGGGGTGCAATCAATGGACGAGATTGTGTGCCGTAGCGCTTCGTGGGCTCCTGGGATACATCCTGGCAAGAGAAGCAGTGAATATCCGTTGCTATCTACCAATCATTTGCCCTCCCACAGTAGGATTGATATTGATGTTTGCTTTGCAGGCTCACAGGAACGATGGACAATTGAAGGCTGAAACCTTGTCGCAGTGATCCAACTACTTCTCGAACCATTGCTCGAAGACGAAGCAATCCGCATATTTGACCAAAAAGTTCGCAGAATTTTTAAAGGTCCCGCCGTAATGCGTTAGGGGCCTCTCAGAAACGCCTCGAACATCCTACACGGCTTTTGCAACGGCTACTGTCTCTCGCCTCTTTTTTCTCCTCTCCACGCCCATCTCCAGAACAAATTTTACAACGGCACAGAAGGACCTCTTCGTCAATAATTCTCGGAAAGGAAGTTGAGTCTGTTAACAAAACAAGTTAGTGCGGCATAATCCATCAGTTTTTGATACCGTACCTAGTGTCAATGACACCCAGAGAGAAATGCTTCTGGTCTGATTAAGTGTCCGTGTCCGCGCTCACCTCGTAGATCAGGCCGTCCGGAAGATCGGTGCTGTTGCGCCAACCGGACGTGTACGGGCGTACTCTGCAGACCATAGAAACGAGCATGTTGACGTCTGCTCATTCGATTGGCTTCGCTCGAGGAGTTCGTACCTCGAAAACCTCGAATAAGCCAAAGCCTTGCCACAAAGAAGCTCAAAAGAGTGGTTCGACAACCAAAATGCGACTGATGCATAGCACTACGTACGAAACTTAAGGTGAGGCTAGATAGGTCGCTTCTTTTTAGAAGAACGCACAAGTCTAGCTCTTCAAACTTTGACCGACAAACGTACTAGATGCTGCAGAGGAATCCCTGGTACTCAAACCAAATGATACTTAAGAAGGACTACACATCCTTTTGTCAACGGCATGTTAAGTATCAAACGTCTTTCTCACCGATGGTAGTAGACGTGCGGATCGCACGCCGATTGCATCCTCTTGAGAGTTTCCAGCATCGTCCGCAGGGTTATCTTGATCGTCTCCAAGCTTTGGGAGACTTTCTCGACATCAAACGAACGTATGGAGTCATGCGCGTCGGAAATCGCCGCAATCGCGGGCGCCGCTTGCTGCTCGATCGCCACGTGGATCAACCTGATTCGATAAGAAGGCTACGTTGATGACAAGATGTGTTCGTTCGCAAGAAGTTGAAGCGGCGGAAAAACTGAAACGACATCTTTCCTTGTTCTGGTTCTGAAAAGCTGAAAATGTTGATGGACGCAAGGGCGCGAAGGTTAGATGCGGCAAGCTGAAGTCACAACGCTATGTTTACTGTTCTTTTGACAGGGAGCAAAGCAAAAAAAACAGGGTCCGGAATCAAACACGTTTGCTCAAAAGCCCGCCGCAAAACTACACTTCGAAAAAAGGCAAGAAAGGCAACGCAAGTGTCGCCAAAGAACGAAAAGAAGCACGAGCAGTAACATGGCCGTCAAACATATCCAGGAGATGCTAATCTCCAATCCTTACCGGAACCACTCTTCGTCGAGCCCGCCGTTGAAGTTTGCCAGGCAGACTGCAAATGAAGCGGAACACGATGGCGAAAATCAGCATCTCCATCCATGTGCGTCAGTGCGCATTTATACGAAGCCTGCTTACGACTGCGAACGAGCAAGCGAAGCGGGCTGATCGGGCCCGTTTCCGAAAGTTCGCGCTTCGCAAAAGTCCGGCACCCAAATCGATCCAGACTAGTGGTCCTGCTCGATCAAACCCATAAAAAGCAATAAGCGATAAGCGGTTGAGTTGGAGCTTAAAAGATGCATCCGCCTGCCGCTCTCATTCAATCTACCGCCACCGTTGCAGAAGGAGAGTCTCTTCGCTCTTCGATAATAACCGAGCCGCGCAGGCGCAAGCCGTACAGTAATAAAAATGTAAAGAAGAGACGGAAACGAACGGATTGCTAGCTTCGCAGGGCCTAAACGAACGCGGCCTGAAAAGTCAAAGACCGCTCACCAATGTTTCCTAGCTCAATGGAGTCCCGAGGGTCCAGTCTGCGCCAGTTGAGCAGATTGTACGTCGCGTCTGCACAATAAGTCAATGTCCGCACGTCAATACGAATCCGCTGCCTTCTTGAAACAGGGTTCCAAATCAGTCAGAATAGGTCAATCGTGTGGCTGGTTAAGGCAACCATATGACTTCAGCACTTCAGTTCGACTACAGCTTCGCAGAAAGTTGGTAGACATCTGTCTGCTAAAACACCAATCAACGACCACAATGCTCAGTTATGTGCCTCTGTGCTGCCAATGTAAGGCGGACACAAACGATTGCTTTCATTCTCAAACAATCGCGGACTTCGTCTGAGATTTGTCAAACAATTTCACGCAGACTGCATCCGTGAAAACACTGGTTACAGAGTCCGGGTCGCTCTAACAGCATTCAGATACACCTTCTGGCCATTGTTGTGCCATTAATGCTTGTGCTGAAGGATTCTCAAACCTCAAAAGCGGGAAGCCCCATGTCTTCTCGGAATCAAACAAGTCTTTCCCTCAATTGGCGGGAAACTCACATGACATCACAGGCGGCACGCCCAGCTTCCATGCCAGCTGGCACCAGGGCCGTGCCAGGGGGGCGGGCAGTCGGTTTGCTGGCGGCAGAAAGTCCCCCCCTGGAAGACAAACCAGAAAATTGTTTGTCGTTTATTTTGAGGAGGGTGTCCAGGCCAATGCTGGAGACGCCTGGGCTTTGTGGGGCAAGAGGTTCTCAGGTGCGAATCCTGGCACTTAAAGAAGTAAGTTACTAAGCTACGGTAGTTGGTATGCTCTTGTTTCAAGCCATTTGAGTGCGACCATGAGGTAAAGGTGGGAACCGGAAGTTTAGCTGTTACACACAGGAACCTATTAATACATCCAACCTCAGCAAGCAGCATCTAGAACTATACAGACGAAAAATGAGGGGCTCTCGGAAGTGTCCCATATACCCCCAAACGTACCAACCAAAAGTCTAAAGATCATGGCAAAAATTAGATCAAGAAGGGGGATCTAAAAACAAAGGATTCTCTGGACCAAAGCTGCCTGACAGTCCAGCCCTCGTCTCCTGCTGCACTCCATCCACACCAGGGAAACAGGGACAACAAAACTCACAGACATACACGTGTGCCAAGAAGGACAGCACCGTGAACGCGCGCCACGCCTGCGCCTCGTCATTGATCCCGCTGACATCAGCCTCCCGCACTGCTGACGTCAGCGCCCTCCTCAGCGCCCCAGGCTTGCCTGCCGCTGCCACCACTAGCTTTGGGAGCTCCCCCAAGAGAGCTTCGAGGGTTAGGAGCTGGTTTAGTGCTGACCCGGTCATGGTTTGGGTGTGGGTTACTGCCGTGGTGGGGGGATCGACTGAGGGCAGAAAGCCCCGCTCCCTTGTGACAACCCACAGTGGCAGGCTGCCCTCAGCGGTGCTTCTTAACCAGCCCTTTGCCCAAGGTTTGTATGCACTGGTTAGGGATAAACCGGAGGAGGCAAGTCTCACTGCAGATTGTTCATTAATCTTCTGGGAGCTGAGTTGACTGGTGTTACTGGCCCCGTTTAAGGATATCAGCCCCTCATCATCAATCTCTTCGGAAGAAGGGATCTCAGTGTGAATAAGGTCAGGGTGAATAGCCTCTGCCCTGAAGCCGCGTCTCTTCAATCTAGTTGGCGTTCTAGCCAGCGGGGAGCTTGGCAGCGACCGGCTCTTTCTCAGAGAGAACTGGGGGGGGCTTAGCAGCTCAGGGAAGTTTCCTGACACCATGGCTGGAGCTGAAGACTGGTCGTTCTCCTTACCAAAAGGCTGGTGCTAAAGGCTGGTGCTAAAGACTGGCTGCCGTCAAGGGCCTTTTAAACATAGAAACTCCAGCAAACCGGAGCTGGAAGTCAAACTTTCAACCATCAGATGCAGAAATTGTCTCTAGTAAGCCTGCTGATTATGCTAAGAAGATTTCTGACTAAGAGCAGCTCGCAGGTTTGATGCACCAGAAAGCCAATAGAGCGGTCGCCAGATGAACCGACTCAATATCAAAAAAGCGTGAGCAATTTCAGCTTCGTTTTGCTGTGCGCTTGCCCCTTCTTCCCATGCATGTGCAGGGGGGCCAGCACTGCCAAGCTCAAGCTTTCTACGCCTCTCTCAAAAGCTTACAGTGCTTTAGTGCTCAGCTGCGAACACTAGAAGTTGAGCTGACAACCCTCGGTTGGACGCAAAAGGAGCCCCGCAGCCTGCTGGATTTACTTCGAAGAATCGAGACCTGCAGGCGGGAAAGGATCTCGAGCACGCAGAACCTTGCAAGAAACGCAAAAGAAGCTAAGATTACAACACATCAGCACGAGAGATATGCTTTGTCTTCCAACCTTGGAATTGGAGTCGGCCGACGAGAGTCGGCCGACGACGATCAGTGCGAGGCCGGCCGTTGCTTTTATCATATGGGCTGCAATCAGCACAAGTTGCATGCATGGAAATCATGGCAGCTCCTTAGGCAAGCTGACTCACAGCATCGTCATGCCGACCTGGCCGCCCGAACAGAAAGTTCCACAGTTATGAGTGGCCTAACTACAACACAGTCAACAGTAAAACCCGAAACGAGAAGCGCTCAGCCTCAGCTGAAAGTGCCAGGCCACCGCCAGGGCCACCTGTAAACCGACCTAAACTCAACCAGGTCCCCCGGTCGTGCCAAAATTGTAACCGCTTGAAATATGTGGCATGCACATTGTGCAAATTGTAAATTCGACAACGCCGTCGGCCGACGGCCCACGCTTTCCACGTGGCTCCGCGATTGTCAGATCGGACAATTTAAAGTCGTCGATACGTGTCACCTCTCCTTTGCAACCGTTCGATCCAAACCTTAAGTTTCATACGGGTTGGAACGGAAAGTGCAATTAAACCTTAAAGCATGAGCGGCCGGATCACTGGGATTTGGACGCCGGGAGTACTGATCCCGGTCCCTGAGAGCTAGAACTCCTCGCCTGAAAGGCTGGGGGATTTGAGGAATTGTCCTCGGTGCGCAGTCACCGAGTCCATACCACTCAGTCCGACCAACCGACCGGCCAATTCTAGAATCCCCCGGAAAATCAAGGGGATCCCTGGCCGCCGCGGCCCGGCCGCCGGCAAGCGGCCTGGCAGGGCAGGCTATAGTACGGTAGAAGCCTGCGATATAGCCCGGTCGCAGAGGCTGGCCGCACTAGCCTTAGGCGCTATGCGGTACGGTTCGAACCTTTGCCAGGTGTGTCGTCGCCAGATATGTGACGTTGGCCATGGCGCCTCCCGCTGCTCGCCAGCAGCTAGGTTGAGGCTGAGGTTTCTGGCGCCTTTTTTGACGCCCATGCCGCCTGCGCTTGGTATCGATCAGGGCGGGGCCTTTCCCCCACGGAACCTATGGCCATGGACACGTACTTTGGAGATGAGGGGGCTCATGAGCTGGCCTCCCGTGTGGGCAGTTTCATCCGCAACGGCATCATGAACCACATCCCGTTTGACCCTGTTGACTTTCAGCACATCATGGCTGACCTTCCGGATGATGAGCAGCGCTTGGCGCACATTTTTCTTGTGCACGCGACCGAGACGCTGACCAAGGGAGCAGAGGGACGGCCCCCCTGGGCACAGCAGCAACTGGATGATGTCATCAAGTGGTACTTTGCGGTTAAGTCGAGTGGCAGGCAGGTGAGAGACTTGGGTGAATGGGGGGTGAATGCAATCTTCCTTTCGACCTGAATTTTGCTGATAGCAAATTAAAATGGTTTTCAACTTCTGCGACAATAGCTTTGGATCCAATCAGTGGCATCACCAACCACCTAATGTCTCCTTGAAAAAAAACAATTGTCAGGTGGTTTATTCTAGATCTGAGACAGTCTGATCTTGCATAAGAGGTCACGATGTGAGTAGCTTGCTGAGCACACTCCGAAAGCTTGAGCAAGTTTGCTGATTAGCTTGTTGACTCTGATGGTGAGACGCAAGAGCACTTTGTCAGCTGAATTCCAAAGTTCTCTGTGAAGGTACTTCTCGCAAAACCGCTTGCTGGCATTCGTGGTCCGAAAAAATAATGCCGCGGGTTTGTTCAGAAGAGCGAGCGTTCTGCTTACTGATATGTCGAGAAAGCGACCTGTCTGGAGTGCACCTTAATGTCCGCACTCAAGTTTTGTTCAAAAGTTGCATTGTTTCAAGAAGCACAATTTCCTGTCCTGCTTGATCGAGACTCGCTTTTGAGTCCTTGGTAAACCAGCTCATCAAGCGCCTGTCTGGCATCACACCTGCATAATACAAGATGCTCCGGCCTATGAAGGACTCAAAACGGTGGCTAAGATTCCAGAGACGCTGCCCTCTGGGATCCCCTCAACTTTGTGACTTCGCATCTGCAGGCAAAACGCAAGAAGTATGACCAAGCTGCTGGGCAGCCGTCGGTTGTCTTCAGGGACAGAGTAGCGGTTGGGATGATGCTTGTGGGGTGCCAGGATGCGGCTACTGACGAAACGGACATCCATGTCAACTACAATTGCGCAAGTTCCCCTGCGCAAGGGCTGTGCCAGCCGCACCCTAACGCACGTTCCAGAGAACCTGGAAAGGACGGGTGGCGGGACGGAATGGCCGCACATGAACGGGGACTGGCCGTCGGCTTCGGAAAGAGTGAGGTCATGAGAAGAGCAGAGAGCCAGTCCCAGGAGCGTGCGTCTGTGGAGCAAGGCCGCGCGCGCCACCAGAGTCGTACGATCTCCGAGCGCCATGATCGTGCTCGCGAGCGTAGCCGAAGTGTGAGCCCCTGGGAAAGCGAGGAAGAGTATAGGTGCAGCGACAGGCGCAGCCACCACCATGTGCCGCATTTCAGTCTAGATCTGCGAGTGAGGGAATCAGATGACGACTCGCCGGAGCGACGCCGGAGTCTTTTACAGTCGCGGCAGCCGGGAGAGAAAATACGACCGTCGCTGAGTGGGAGAGACAAAGCAGCCGTGGCAGCGGGATGGCAGCAGCCTCGCAGGTTTGCATCTTAGCTACGAAGATGCGGTTCTCACCCGCAGGCAGACTCGCTCGAGAGCGCTTCCCTCGCCGCAAGCATCATTGCAAGCGGAACGAGCCCACAGGAATCTCGCTGGAGTACTTGGACCAACGATCGAGCAGGGGATAGACATGCCAGAGCGGAGATCGAGCGAGCAAGACACCGATACACTCAGGATTGAGCCCCTGATGCTTATCGAACAGGCTTGCGTGACTGAGCAGGTCGGATGCATGTGCCGCTTGTTGTCTCCGCGTCCCTGGCGCAACGGGACACTGCCATGCACATAGCTGCATGCAGGCAGTCCTGCCGAGCTATATAGGTTACTGACGCTAAGAACTCGGACTTGACTGGCGAATTCTGCAAGATCACAAAGCTCTAGTTCGCATCGTCATGCTTTCTACATGGAATCAGGAGATTTGTGAATTACAGAAAGGCCCAACTCAAGCTATAGCAATAAATAAACAGAGCAAGGCCCGACTGCAACCATATTGCGCAGCCATATGTTTCTAGATACCATGCATATGCATTTCCGTTGCAAGCTGATTGATCTGGCATCTTAAGTAATCAACGGGCTGGCATGAGCTGCACAATCTGTGCCAGCAGTGGAGGCGGCTCGCCAAATTCGTCATATTGGCTGAGACAGATCATTACGATGGACGCCAATGGCAACGATCGCCTATGATTAAAACTACAGCATCTGCCCGCAGAACGTGTGCATCCCGCATTGTGAAGATGTTAAACGGACGCATAGGAACTCAATCCACTTTCGAGCCCACTCTAGATGACGATATACAATATGGTCGGTCCACCTATATCTTCGCAAAGCGTACCTTTTGGAAGCTTATAATACAGCTGGCTTGAGGGCACTGTGTGATCCACGACGAACTTGATCGAATCTACAGGCGAGTTCTATGGGCTCGCCGAAGCCTACCAACCCTTCCCACACGTGTCCTCTTCCAAATCCAGCTTCTACCCCTTTGATGAGCCAATAAGTGCCCGCTTGACTGTACAAACATGCTGCTGCGTTTCAGATCAATCTATTAATTACAGGTCACAGGCGAATGCAGCCAAGCGGATGCTTTGCGTGCTCGTTTTTGTCCACGTCACCTTTCATCGAACATCATCTCCTGCAGAAAACGGGATAAAATGTCTCGATCTCGTCCTCTGAACGATTCTCCTTTTGAAAGCGGGCCCGAAAATTCAGAGAGACGAGCTTCGAAATGCATAAGGTCCAGCAACCCATCACCATCGAGAACACTCGGGTCTCGTCCAAGTAGATGGAGACTAATAAAGGCAGCTTTGAGGGAGATGAAGGCAGGCTTAGGTTCAATGTTTGACTTCTCAAAAGCCCATGCACTATCAAAGGCATGGGGCTACGGTGGGGCCGTTTTACATGCATCCAGGAGCACTACATTCGCGTAGGACCCTACTCATGTACCAGTGCTAGTGGACAGCAGCGCAACCTTGGTGGCAGAGACGCTGGCCTCTCGCTCCAGGACACCCAATCGTACGTCTATGAAAGTAGCCCCTAGCAGAAGGCATAAAGTAGCGGTGGTTTGCTCAAGTCAACAAAGCGAAGCTGCTTCCTTTTTCGACGTACCTTGTCACAGACGGGGCATCGGTTGCTCCGTTCCATCCACTCGTATATGCAACCTGCACGCGCCATCGATATTTCTCGGTGAGTGGATTCAGGGTTTGGTGGTGTTGAGTTCCCCGCATGGGTAGGAGAACCGCGCACGAGGAAGCGCATCTGGTGAATGCCGTAAGGCCCCGTTTCGCAACAGCACTGTGCAAGAAGACGCTTGCCTCCTTTCTAGACACGTTGCGTTGGATGGAAGAAACCAGCAGCGTGCTGCAAGACTTGTCCAATTCACTAAGGAGGCCTCGTTTCCGCCGCTTGCAGGCGTGTTGCCTATCCGACCCTTTCTGTGACCCAGGCTTCTTTTGCAAACCACACACCTCACATATTGACAGTGAAAAGACACAGCTTATTTTAACCCCTATAACATGTCTTGCAACCCGGGCACCAAGAAATGACGACAGAGCCTTAAATAGGAGACAAAAGTTGCAACTAGAGCTGGCAACAAGCAGCCCGGCTCAAAACCCTGACAGTGGGTTCGGGGCATGGGCGCCCCTGTAGGTTTCAGCGGTCCAGATCAGCACTCAGATGAAGTCCAATTCAAGACTTGGACCTTTCCAGAAACCTTGGTCACCATGAAGGGCGGTTTTAAGCTCTCCGTTAGTTTAGAGAAATACAAATCGTTACGCTTTCAACAACGGAGCCAGGACTCGAGGAACCCCGTTGAGGGGTTCGAGTCCCCATAACTAACTGGACGCCGTCACAATACGTCTTGACAAAAGCTGCTGCACTCCAGGCTGTCGTAATTGAGCAAGGCGGGGCTAAGCCCCGGCAGAAAGGAAACGGATTGTCTCACTCAGATGAAAGTGGTGCAGGCAGGCCGTCTGGATCTTCGGGTTGTCCTCGGTATAGCCTGCGCGAGAACCGGTGATGACATAAGCGAGGCCCGGACTTACATATTCTAGCCGACGAGGCTTCGAAACGGTGCACGGAGCTAGCATGATAGGTAAGTAAGCGACGAGACAGCACAGCGCGCCTGGTCACTTTTCAAAAGCGCTTTCCCTGTGCAAGCATGTTGAATCAGCACTGCCAGCTGTCGTTCTCATCTTGTCTTGCTTACAGACTTCTTTCTTGTTCTCTCGAGGTTCAGAGGATCTTGGACATTTGATTGAGCAGAAGAGCTCGATCTCGTAAGCAGGAGAAGAGGCAAGCCACGAGATGCAGCAAAATACGTTGACTTTTTGCGAAATTCTCTTCTGCTGAGGTGTCCCACTCACCATCCAAGCACGTCGGACAGCACTCCTCGTCCGTAAACGACATCACCGAAGTGTTCCTCTTAATATTCGCCATCTTCTTCGTCTCTTCCGTCTCAGTCTCCTCGGCTTTTGGCGGGGCAGTCACGCTGCCCACTTCCACCCCCCGCCGAAGCAGCGCCATCCCCTCCCCCCCCTCCTGCTGCCGATCCGACCCCCCCTTTCCGGTGGGCCCCCGCGGCCGAAGGTTCCGATGGTCAAATGGCAACGGCATGGGGGGCGCGCGGTAGGAGTCCGGATTGGTGGAGTCAGTCCGAGTTGGGCTTAGGAGAACGGCGGAGGGGCTGGCTGAGGTTCCGTGGATGGGGGATCCCCCTAGCCGGTGCTCATTCTGGGGGTCAATTAGTGTCCGATACTGCAAAGAGAAGGTGAGAAAGCCTCTGAGGCGACTTTCGCAGTATAAGGCGCCCATAGCAGGCCCCTTGAGCGGGATCGTTACTGTAGTGGAAAGAACATCACAAACGATCCTTTGTATGCCTGATCGACGAATTTTAGGAGTCAAAAGAGCGTCCAGTATTGCAAAGACACGGACGGAAAGATTGTTCGGGGGATGATGCATGATAAGGAGTCCATCAAGACCTTTTTAGAACATCATTCGTCATTTGTACTGCTTGAGGACGTTGAAAGGGATCCTTTGTCAGTTCTACGATCAGCCACCCGGCACAGGGCCCATTATATGTGCGCAGCAGTATCGTGGGTCTCGATGCACGGTGACCGTAGGCATGTTATTGGGGTGGCAAACATTACGGATGCAAATATGCACTAGATATTAGAAAATCAGGAGCCAGCCAGCAAGTTGTTGATGTTTGATTCTCTAAGAAATTGGAAAAACTAGACAGCATCCTATAATTGGACCCAATGAGCCTAGCTCGTTGTTGCGCCGCTTCAGTGACAGATTCGACCGGGAACTTGTAAGACTTCATTTGAGCAGCCCCTTGCTTGGTTCCTAAGCTTGGGCAAAAGCAAGAAACTCTGAAGAAAGACTCCGACAGATCCTGAGAGGAGCAACAAACAGTTTTCTGTAGCAAAACTATTGGTGGAAGTCTCCTAGAAAGTGCCCTTTCGACCCTGATACCGGAGCCAGCCATGATATCGAAGTGCCATCAAAGACGCAGATTAGGATGTGACCAGAAAGCTGATCTTGTGGGGAAAACGATGAATGCTGATTTCAAACAATGACTGCCGCCACGGGGTGTCGGATCGATAGAAACATTCTAAGAGGCGCCCAGCCAACAATGACAACGCGGTCTAACATAAGAAGACCCAAAGTCAGGACTTGTCCGTCCGTTCTGAAACTTCTTCACGAGCTGGGCAGACCGTTACTTCCTTCTCTTAAGTTTCTATAATATCAGCAAAGTAGGAAGGATTGAATGCCACAAACAAGTAGGAACAGCCTTCTCCAAAGGGCTGCAGATGCACACAGGGTGAACCCAACCATACCTGTTTGACTCAAGGACCAAGAATGACATGTCTGCCAAGGACCTCTTGCAGCAATGCATTAGGCAAAGCGTACTCCAAGCAGATTCTCATAGATTCTCCAAAAACGGCTGGTGGAAGTTACATGTTCCAACCCATTGAGCCGGTGCTTCACGTCAAGGACTTTCAAATTCCAAGTACACAGCTCCTACAGAAAGAGCTCCATTGAGAAGCCATGTTGTCTTCCGGTGTTCAACCCTGCAGCCTCCAGGTTTCTGCCCTGAAGACAAACTAGACAAAAGCTAATAAGGAGAAGCAGACTTGACGGAGACCAGTGGGCATGCTCACAGCGCGTATGCACCACCGGAAGCAGTAGCGCACGCCAAAACAATTTTGAAGGCTGTTTGGGTGGCCATACTCCTCCCAGTAGTCCTCTGGTATGGGACAGCAGCACAGCGCCCCCATCCCTCACAGGCCCCCTCCCCTGCAAATCCCTAAAATGCAGAATAGCTAGAGCTAAGCTGACTGTAACAGAACTCAAGAGTGCTTTGGCTGCAGCTTTACAGCAGGTTTTCAAAGGAAGAAGTGAAAGGTTGGAGGTAGGATGGCTAAAACCTAAGCTGGAGGCTTCCTACACAGAATGCGCCAAAGCGGGAGGCTATTTCTTGTCATCCCTGGCTAAGACATGCAACGGCATGTGACTGGTGTGGAACTACTTGACAGCTCTTCTGTCAGCCTCTGAACCTTCACTGCTCTTCGGGTTTGTTCAACAACTAAGGGTCATGTGCGGTCCACACACAAGGAGTGTGGACCGCGTTTGTGCAGGAGCCACAGTTGTGAACGCTTTCTAAACCTTTGCTGGTCAAGAGCCGTCCTTCCGATTAAGGCCCTCAGCTTTGCAAGGAGCATGAGCGCCTTCAGAGCCCTTTTGCCAGCTATGAAATTCGAAGCTGATGTCCAGCTACCTAGGCCCAGGGTGATGAATGACGACCTCGATCGTCCCTGCCTAAGCCTTCTTCTTGGATGCGGGGAGTGCATGCACCGTCTCCTGAGCTGCAGTCTGCATGGTCATTTTCTGCTAGAAAGTTTTGAATAAAATTGGCGTTCATCTAGGTTCCGGAACCCGCAGATCTTTGTGCGGATCGGATAATGGACCAATTTAGAATTAAAAGATAATATAAGTAGAAACGCTCTACAAAGCGCCTGTCTCATAATTACCTTCGGCACATATTCAATTGTTTCTTGTGTTCATACGAGGATTTCTCCGGGTCCAAAAGGAAACGGTCAAATCTCAAAAGTGGGAAATTCAAAATCGTCTCTGAGGACAACCCAGTCTCTCCTTTGAAATGGACGATTCCTCGGTTAAGTCCAAGGCATCGATATCGATACACCGACCAAGTTGAAACGGTAGAGTCCCCAAATAGAAATTCGAGTTACCGTCCGATTTTGCCTCTGGAAACCGACGACGACGACGGTAACTAAGATCGAGAACCCCAGCTCACATGTTGGGTGGCACAGCCTGACCCTCAGCATGCAATCTGAACCATCTGACTGGGAAGGCTTGGCTTCAGAATCAGAGTGGGCCAGCTAGAAGGTGCCGCCAGCTTCCCTGCTTGGAGCAATCTGATGCTGCATTAATTAGCACCACGGTACAAGGATTGGGTGGATGTGCTGCTGGTGCTGGGGTTGTTGCCGCAACGTTTGCCCACTCAGAAATCAAGACGAAGCAGGGAAGCGGGATGGCAGCACATTCCGCCAACATTAAGGAGGACATTTCATTGTCAATCACAGAGGATGACATTAAGTTCTACTGGAAGAAGATTGGGAAACCAGCTAACTCATTTCCCAGGATACACAGGAAACATAATGTTAGCTTAGTGCACATGGCCAACGTCTTTAGAGCAATTAGCGTGGAGGTGGCAAGCTTGCCTTTGGAGGAAGCACCCAACTGTTGGGAAAAGCTGCAGGAGAAACTGGGATACAATGACAAGCAGATGGCGGAAGTCTCAAGTATTCAAAAAGATGAAAGAATCGGGTTTCAAGCTTTTGTGAAGGAGTGTGCAGCTGGCACCGCACGTGACGGCAGCGCAGGTCAGCAGTCAGCGACAATCGGGCCATTGCATCAGTTCAAAAAGCTCTCAGCATTCATCGTTTGCTGTCAGTATCGTCTTGCACAATGCTGTGACAGAATCGAGTCGTCGCCAGACAGCATACAAACAACTTTCTGGAGGTTGGAACACGGTCTTACATGCTTTGCCATTGTACATTCTGTTGGCCAACTTGAATACCTGAATGCCAGTGGTGCATGCTATTGTCACTCGCTTGACGGTTTTCGACGGCAGCCGCGTCGTATGCGATGAGGATGCGATGTACAGGATGTAAGCTTCCAAAGTTTCGAAGGACCATTGCAGAAAGGGTTGGATTTTGATCCAGGTGTTTTGCTCACTGCAGAAACGCAGGGGAGAAAGCGAAAAGCGAGCGAGTTGGGAAAGAGTCATAAAGAGGTGGTGCCAGGTCAGTGACATGCTTACAAATCAAGCTCAAGTGTCTCCTTTCCGATGTTCAAGGCTTTGGGCAGCAAAACAAATGCACAAGCAGACATGCCAGCAGGGAACCTTCACTTCATGTTGCAGTTGCCATTGACAAAGAGACTTTCTCAAACTTGTTCAAGCACGACGCCGTCGCCTGTCAAGTTGCTTTTGTTTGTGGCAGTCCACAGATCAGCTTGTTCACACCCTTTGAGGTTTGCTTGCGCAGGTGCCCCATCAGTCGTACAAAAGAAGCGGAGCAAGATGACAAAGCGGAAAACGAAAGACACGGAGCCAAGCGGCGCAGGTGAGTGGCCACCATTCTTGCGTGCAGACTCAATTATTATAATAGCTACTGCTCTGCAAAGGCATGTTCTTTGTATACCGGTGGCCCTGTTCTCTTCGGGTATGTAAAGCAACGAATTCCCAGTTGATCCAAAAGCTTTTATCTACTGAAGGCCCGAAGGGCGGCCGGTTGATTGTTTCTTGGGCTGCAAAGTATCAATGAACTGGGCTCTCTTGAAAAGGTGTTTCATCAGCCAATCTGTCCTTCTACTGCTTCCAAATTAGATGTAACGATCATCTGAGATTTAGTAACGGACTCACACGAGGTAGAAGCAGTTTGATGTCCAATTGGCTTGCTCTCTATCGAAACGTCTGCTTGTTTACCTGGTCCTCTATTGGGCCTCGCAGAAGACATGAGCGCAGGGGGCAAGGGGCATTTTGTTACTCGACAATCTGAGCAGGCTTGTTGCGGGCTCTCAGTTTTCAGTGGAATTCAAGCAAGGAAGTACTCTCTTTCGGTTTTCTAGTAGGGCAGATCTCAAGCAGACAGTTACCCTAGAAGAGACTTGTGTGGATGCCTGGTCTTGGTTCCATATATTAGAGTCTCAAACATGTTTACAACTATTTGCAGCTGACAAGAAGGGAGCTCGTGCTTCGCCAACATCTCCCGCAGCCAACCGGCGGAGCTTGTCACCAGCTCCACAGCCTGTGCATTCTGTCCGAAGGTCACCACGTGAGTTGTGACCTGCGGAAAGCTCAAGCTGTGCTCGATTGTTTCACTTCGTAGTGCTCAAGGTCGTTCTCCAATCGGTCGAGTGCCTCGTGATAAGATTTAGAGCCGCCATAGTTAGATATCTGCACTTGGGGGATTTGGGTAACCTTAATTATTCTGGTGGCCTGCCCCACTTCATTGACTTGGTAGTCTGTCCGCTTTTAAACACTCAACCCTTTCCTTCAGGGGCGTCTCTGTTCCCCGAGATGCATCGTAGTGCTGCAAACGGTCCTGCACAAGGTCCTAGCACATCAAAGCGGACCGAGAGCCCCGAAGGGGTTACTACTCCATCTTCTCGTAAGTAATCTCTCGGGAGCTTGGAGCAGCTGTTGCGAATGAGCCATCAGCCTTCAGGATTTGCTTGACCTCCTTGTTTCCCCCTTTGCTCCTTTTCCACTCTTTATCGTCTTTGAAAGGAGTCCCGTGCTGGAGCTTTTGAAGAGTCTGCAACTATCTGTGTTTGATCCACCGGCTTGGCTTTTGATGCACACATCGCACGCTTCTAAACCGATGCACACATCGCACGCTTCTAAACCGAAACACCGTTTTTCAGGAGCGGAGCCGCTATCGCAGTCCGCCGGTTTGGGAGCGGACAAAGGACAATCTCCCGAAAAGGCAAATGAGACCACCGGGTCAACCGCGAAGGAAGGTGAGGGAGAACGCTTACATGTGCAGTTCCCCTACTCGCTGCATCTCAGCAATCATTTGAGCTGATCTGGAGGCGGAGATTAATAATGCCATTGTCATCATCAGTTCAGATCTCGCTTACGTTATTAAGATGTCCCGTAATGGAAATAGCGGTAGTTATTTGAGTTTCGGCTTTGACTTTCTATGGTTGCGCACATCAGAAGTGTGGCCTCTTCTCCATGATTGGGCAAAGTGGAATTTGCTGTGGAAGCCTTGGCAGTGCTAAACCGTGCGGGCAGCATCATGTAGTCTTTCAATTTCCATTTTATTTTCTGGGTATTTTGAGATATAAGCAAGCTGTTTCTTCTTGGCCCAGCTTCTAAGGCTCATCGCGCGAGCTGGGCTGGCCGAGCGCGCCTTCGTTCGCAGCGATCGAACTTCGACAACGATGTACGTCCCCTTTCTAAACCTGGCCCGGTGTTTCTTCTCTCCAGGCGGGGGACCTTCTCAGACTGCGGACATTCCCCAAGCAGAGGAGCGGCGGATGTCTCCTCGGAGACCGACCGGGCCTGATCCTACCCCTTCATCGTTTCCACCGTCTCGTAAGTCCCTCCTAATGGCCGTGGCTACTTCAAAATTGAAGCAGATCAGAGCCGTTCCGTTCCTACCGTTGGCAGTCCTAAACGGTTTCGTATGATCAGGGGCCCAACAATTATGCTTCACACCGGATCTTTTGGACTTCGGGTCAGCCAATACTGGGGAGGACTCTGGGTGTCATTGTATATCCTTTATTTACACAGCCCAGCAACTCAGCCGAGAACCTTGCAAACATCTGGCAAGCCTAGACTAGGGGCAGCATATATGGACTTCTCTCTTTTTTAACGCTGGAAACTCCCACGCCTAAGGACCAGTTACGCTCCTCGATCTGTTTCAAACGGTATTTGATGCCGGCCCAAAAAGGGGAACTGGAAGTGGATCAAGAAAAGGGGTTCGATGTCGACAATTGTGGTTGATGCGATACCTTCAGAATTCAACAATATGGTTTCAGCGTCGTTTGTATCTCAACGATGTTGCGACTGGCCATCACTTCCCAATCAGTGCACTTTCGTTTCTTGCAAACCTCGTTTCTCTTTCGGCCCTGTCTGGTACAGAGACCGGAGCCCCAGTAAGCAGCCCCGGACAGAGGAGGGAAAGGTGGACTTCTCCAAGAAGAACAAGCCGGCATGCGAACGAAACCCCGAAGCCATCAACGAGTCCTGGTGAGTCCCTGGTGTCATCTCACGAGAGTTCACCAGAAAGAAGTCCGCCGCAAGTGATCCCTTTGTTAGGCTCTCTACCGGAGGTCCAAAAGTTGGCACATCGCGCTTCTCAATGTTCATTGTATGCTTTGACTCGTTCAAAGCGGTGGAAACTTGCAAAAAGGGGACACTCCTTCGTCAGGAAGTCGGGGGCAGGAAAGAGAAAAACTGGCTAGCGATGGGAAGTTAGAGGGCTGCCAAGAACGTCATTTGGGGCAAAGACTTCTCGAACCCCTCGGATGATCACTGAAGGCATCCACCTGAAATGATCCACATCCTTGCGGACAGCTCGTGGTCTGAGGCAGCCTGCGATGCTTTTCTGGCTGCCGACTTCTGTGTGAGCGCATGCTCAAGCTCGAACGAGCGGGCCTTTCCGTTTCCAGCTGGCTCGAGAGAACCTCTTTGGAGCTCTAAGCGTTATGCGCGAAGTGCCTCGCACATAACTTGACGTATCAATCCATGCCGTTTCAGGTCTTTCTCCCGCTCGCAAGTCAAAGAAAGTTGCTCCGAAGGAACGCCCTTGCCCCAGCAATACAATACCCCCTTGCCCCGGTTTGGTCCCGTCCGCTGCAAACAAGTGCAAGACGTGCGGCTTCGACGTCAAAAGCTTCCGCCGACGCGCTCAGGAGGAGAAACGAGAAAAGAAAGTGAGCGCCGTTAAAGACACAAAAGGAATCATACGCCGGATCAAAGACGACCTTATGCTTCTGTCCGAAAAAGGTTTTCAAACAAGCTTGGTCTGGTATGACGATTCAACGGAATCCGGCGCCTCTCTCGGAAAGGTAGGAAGGAAGGCAGAGTCAAAGAGCAAGGAAGCTCACTTTCTGGGTTTCGGAGACCTCGGCAGTTCCTGGGTTGGCAGCGATGACGTCCAGAAGTCGTACAAAAGGGCCTTAAGGGTATATAAGAAAGCGAAGAAAGATCAGAGCGAGGAGAAAACCTCAAAAGGCGACCAGAGCAAGGCTCACACTTCAGCTAATGGACCGCCGAATACTGCTAGTGTTCCCGGTCCTTCAAGCTCGTCGTATAGCTTGCCACAAAGCCTTCGTAGCTTTGTAGCCTCCTTGAATATGGAGGAGACCCTGAGGAGCAAGGTTCTTGCGTGTCTAGAATCTGGGGAAGTGGATGAAGCGAGTCTGAAAGAGTTGATTGATGATAAAGATTGGTTGAACTCGATTTTCGGGGACAAGGCTGGTCCTCGGATGTTATTTAAAGTAGCCGTGAAAAAGTGGGCAAACAGTGGACCCTAGGATATATTGTAACGTTTGGACGTTGCTAAGCTCGTTCAATGTGTGCATGAGTAATGACATCTGATTGAATTTTCGAAGCTCTGCCCATGATGGTGCACATAGCGACAACTTAGTTTGGCACTAGCTGACAGGCCCTCAGCATCTTCGATCAAACCCATGATGCCGAACCTCAATGAGTACTTAAAAACGATCCCGAGTCCACACACAGTAGCTTCGTGACAGACTTAATCATCGGACCGCGCCTGGAAGCATTAAGGTGGCACGGCAAAGCAGCAACACATTTTCAATTGTGAAGTCGGTGCCCACTAGTAGCTCATGTGCAGCCATGCGAATCTCAATTAGTCGAGCCTCGCTCGAGTCGTACTCGGTAATACAGACTCAACACTGAGCTGTCTTCTACAAGTTGGCCGCTACCTTCAACTTAATTACATGTTTGCATATGCCTACCTATATCGATCATACTCATGTCCGATCGAGCTGCTTGATTATACTATACCAACATACAACCGTGCACTGCGAGTTTATCGTCAGCTCTCTAGTTTCTCAGTATAGTTATGGACGTAGGGTCATGTTGGATCCACGATCATGCATCATAATCATCCATTTTCATAAGAATATGTGCATGCTGGCATCATGGACTCATTGATACGCAATCAAGAACTTCAAGACCACAATCGATCCTAAAACGTACGTGCGCACTGCATCCATGCCATATATCATTGTCAGTGTGCAATAGGTAAGAGTAGGGCTTTTCGTGTGCTCGACTTGATTGCACATATATGCACATGGTGGATCGATGATCCAGCCCGCATACCATACCCTAGTAACAAACGAATTCCGCAATAAAGTCTGGTGAAGCTACCCGACTGCGGCACCCTTGCATGGTTCCGGCCGATAATGCAGGCATTCGAGTTAAAATTGGATTCTATGCCTGCTCAATACTCAATTGTACAATTACTGCAGTACTTGGCATCTTCCGTCAGATGATGCTGGCACATGCTATAGCTTGTTCCTAAAACCATTGCTTGTCTATGTTTACCAACATTGGAGCACGCAACATTGAGGCAAAGTTGGCAAGGCACGAAGTAGCAATTAAGTGCCCGGCCATGTCGATAGAGTCCGGACTTGTGCGGCAATCTGTTCATTAATTGCACCGCCAACACTGTGCATTGACAGGACTCGAAATGCATGCACCAGTGATGACGTTCTCGTACGGTATGGTCCAGAACTTCCGAAGTTCTACTCGGTCACCACTATGCCTTGACACTGAAACTCGGATGAAGTGCTCAAAACTTCGGAATCCGAGATTATTGATCTCAGCAAACGGTTTAAGCAAGGGTTTTAATGGCGTCTAGGAACCTTAACCGAGCGCCTAACGACATGCCTAAGTGTACCAGATCCGTGTTGGTCATCCACTTCAAATCGTCAAGATTCAAACTCTCTATGACCTCGGGGGGCAAATGACCGTCAAGGTTCCTAGCTAGTAGCCAGATCCGAAGCGGGCTCACTACGTTTTCAGACCAAGACGCCTCCGGTTCTGGCGCAGCTCCTAAACCTGTTGGCAACCCTTCAGGGTCTACTTCGGCGTACACATCGTCCGACTCATTGCCCGCTGCCCGTGTGCTTGTTTCCTGACCAAATTGTATCCGACCCAGTCTCAAATACTTTAGAGCCTCGAACCGCGCCGCCGACAGAATGGCAAGGAAACCACTTGATGCATCCTGATCAGACCACAAAAGAGTGGCGGGAGCAACGTACCTACCCGACTGGGCAACGGCCTCAAAGGTTGGTCGAGGAGTCGTACCAGCCCTACGAACACTCTCCTGAGCCTCAGCAATCTGCATGTCTAAGGACGCTACGAGTTCCGTGTAATAAGTAAGGTAATTATCCCTTTCTGCTCTCAGTAACAGCTCTTCCTCCTCCAAGCGGCGTAGCCTATTGTAAGCGTCTAATAACTCTAGCTGTTTCCTGAACTCCACAGTCCTATGCATCGAAACCCCAACTCTGAAGCTCGGGTCCACGCACCCCTCGAATGACCAAGGCAGCTCCTCGCCGGCCAGAAGAGAATCAGCATCAGCACGATCCCGCTCTTTCGGCGAGATTTGCAGGTCGAGCAGCCGGTTGTACCGCCCGACCGCAGCGACAATCTGCTTCTTGATCTCGCCCTCCTTTCTTCGGAGAGAAGCCCTCATTTTGGCCGAGTCAGCCTCCTTCGAAACCCGCAATTTGTAACGTTCAAGAGAGTGGAGCTGGGCTTCGAGGTCAATTTGCAGCTGTTGAATCGTCTCTTCCGCTAGCTGCACTCTGGCTTCCCGCAGAAAGCGCTCTTGCTCGGGGCTACCTCGCCTCTCGACATAGTCCGCCCCAAACACTTTCTTCCCGAGATCGAGCAGCTTCTTCTCTTTCGAAGCTCTGTCTTTCAACATCTCCGCTGTAAGCTGCTGAACTGACTGTACCTTCTCCGAGCACAAAGCACCATCCGAAAATGATTCCGAATCCGCGATTTCTTCCAGCCCCCGTGCAAGTTCCAACTCGGTGTACAGGGCGAAGTACTCAACCCCGTCTGACCTTTGATGGAGCGTCCGGTCTAGCTTCCGCCGAGCAGCTTCCTGCACCCCCGCCTTCCACTCCTCGAATTGCTCTAGCGGCACCTCACCAGCCGGCACACCGAGTATGTCGCGGCAAGCGGTTTCCAGCGCTACGGCCGCATCGCCTAGTCGCTTGAGACACTCCTCGTACCTGCCCGACCAAGAACGACGGGAATGATCAGTTAAAACTCGAAATACGCAAATAGCTCGGAACAATCAGAATTGGAGCACCACGTTTGACAGGGCCTACATACGACATTTAAAAAGGGGTCCGTTTGACATAGGAAATGATGTGCTCAGCTCAAAAATCATACGGACAAACTCAAATGCGGTGAAACAACTGGTTGATAAAGCTGGTAACCCTGTCCATCGCATATAAACCGTATTGAAAACGACCAGATCGAAACTTTGCAAAAGATGGTTCACTGATCAGGTCATTCACGGAGCGCTGTGGCAAAAACTCTGGAAAACAAATGCGATTATTTGGCGTTGGATCAAGAGCTTGCATCGTCGGTGATCAACTTATGCAGATTTCATGTGGGTTCAGCTGTGAAAATTTCAGAGGCATACCTCCTTGCCAACGACTGTGCCAGATGCCGGAGCTTCTCCTCGTTGTAGTACAAGGCTGCTTCGGTGATCGCCTCGGCTCGTCCTGCGAAAACATGGAACAAGTTTTTAATGAGTCTGCGATTGAAGAACTCTTCATTAAAGACACTTGTAGTGGTGCATGCGTGCAAATGGCAGCATAAGGGACTCTAGAGAAACGTGCAGGAAGTTGTTCAAAAGAGCAGCGCGAACTTGAAGACAATGCTAACGGAGGCCCTGGACTTGCGGAATTCTTTGCAAAACTATCTGAATCGGCTCAAAGCATCCATGTTCTGGGTTATGCGTGTGTGCTTACTTGCTGCTCCCATCAGCTTTGTGATGATGCCGAGTCGTGAGAGGTAGGAGAAGAGGAGTTCCATGTCTTCGCCAGAGCCCGCGCCCGCACCGTCCTGCCAAAGTCCTCCAAAGAGTACCTACGGTGGAGATGAAGCAAAACGTAGGCACCTCATTAAGGGTTGCTTCGATTGACCATTCACAATCAACGGCAGAAACGTTTCTACTCCAGGGCCCGCAACAATATATCCGGCAGGTTATTGTCCATTTGAAGAGAAAGAACAAAGGCAGAAAACATGATAATCGTTCAACTTCACTTTTCTGCCACGTCAGCATCTGTAAAGCGCAACAGGTTTCCTGGTTTTTCGAGCTAAACCAATTGATTGCCGGCCGATCAGGACACTCAACCGGATTCGTATCCGATTAGAAGCGAGAACGTTGCCCCAAGAAGGAAGCAGGTCTGACTTTCAAAAAGTACCCAATGTCGTCGGCTGCCTTGAAATGTTTTTACATGGTGAGAGGGACCAACAAAGAGACATATTAAACCACCGCTTGTTCACTGATATATACCTCCAAAATTGGTCTTCAAGTAATCTCACCTGGCACTCCCACGAATGGAGCTTTCCATGCATAAGATTCAGGGCAGGCCGAATACCGCCACCGTCCCCGTGCCCCATCTTCTCTCGCACCTTCTCCCGCCAGGGGAAGTACTTGCAAATGATGTCCTGGTAGATAAACTTCACCCCCTTCTGCTGCAGAAAGTGGCGGTCCAGGAAGTAGGCATATCCGTAGCGCTCGCCGCTGTATTGCATGTTCACGCCCTTCATCGCAAACTGGTGGCGACACCCGCATAGTACACACCCGGTCTCTGCTTGACCCCGGATGGCACTCTTCGAGTCCCTGGCCGCTTTCCACTCCCCGGTTCCGCAGCATGTATCACGGGGCCGGCTGCCCATGGCTAGGTCCAAGTGAGCCAGACTCTGTTGCACGTCTGCATCACTGTAGAGAAGGAGGTCACCGTAGTAGCACTGGCGAAACACCTCGTAGGCGCGATCCCACCGGTAGAGCTTGTGGTTCCCGTCGCACATGCACGAGTGCGGATGCCTGTGGCACGCCGGGCAGTCTAGACCGGAGCGGTGAGCGTTGAGATACTTCAGCTCGAAGCGCGCGAACTTGAACTCCCCAAAGGCCAGCGACATGGTGTGGCGGTTGATCGGAGCATCCTGAGGATAAGCAAGGAGACGAAGTGAGATGCTGAGGCATGTATAGTGCCTCATTGAAATCATTCTCTAAACGGAGTGGCAGGAGTTAGCAAACCTTTCTTCAACCCTTAGAGGAGGGTGCACCGAAGTCACCCGGCAGAACCTCCTTTCAGAGTATGCTTTCGCAAAAGATCAGTAACTTCTACTCTGAAAAGCGAGGTCGATGATGATCATTGCAAGCTTCTATGTGCAGAACTTGGTTACACAGAAGATTATGTGAAGGATTAAAAACAAAACCGTATGACTCTTTTGTCCAACAAGCAAGTGGGTATAAAAGATCCGTTTCAACTTGCACTGGAGATCAATGAATCTGCCACCTGCGGATTATTCAGGTTTTGGTGAAAGGAACATCGAGTTCCTACTTTATATCAACCATACGTTGCATGTCACGTGGTCTTCTTAAAGCAACCAAAAGGTGGAAACGTTACAAACGCCCAAGTTATCCCTTTCAGCCAGAAAGGACATGGTTTCGTAGATGGGAGCGAGCAAGTACAAATGGGAGCGAGCGAAAGCAGCTCAAATCAAGCCTTACCCTGCCCTGCCTTCTTCCGGTCTCCTCAAGCACCCCCACGAAGGCTGATAGGGAGGAGCCAGGCATTGCCTTGCTTGCCGTCGCCCAGTGCTCCAGCATCCCGATCTCGTACACAGTCCTGAGCTTTGCCACAGTGCCCGGCCAAAAGCCTAGCTGCACAAACGCCGGACACCCCTGGAGAACGCGGTTCTTACACCCCTCTGTGCAGCAAGGGTGCACAGCTTTGCAGAACTCAAAGCGACCTTCCAGCGTCACGACTGTCAGAGGCTCGTGGGCTGATTCAGCTGCACCCCAATTACATTTTTGACAAGATTCGCACGGCTGCGCTGGAGGCTGCGGGAACACCTTTGCCACCCGGGTCAAGCTGCCCTCCCTAAGCTCAACATCTGGACCAATGGGCATCCAGCAGTGCCCCTCCCGGAGAGACCAACGGTGATGGAAGTGAGCATGGGGGTGGAGATCCTGATCGCAAGAAGCGCAAACAAGCCCACACGTCCTACACTTGATGGCGACCGGACTGCTGCAGCCAGACCTGCTACACTGTACTGAAGCACCTGGGACAGCATGCGCTCTCAGCATCTCTCGCGCAAGCCATGGACGCTGCTCCTTGTACTGGTCGTAAGCCGCAGCTGTACGCTGTCTCCACCTCGTCGGCCTCGGTTCCGCAAAATTTTCTTCCCCATCTGAACCTTCATCAGAGCAAGGCTCGCCCCCCTCAAAGTAGTCTGCCATGGCAGCCGCTGTGGCCGCAGCCCTGACCGCCTCTGCCCTTGCACGCTGTTCAGCTTCAACTGCCCTTGCTTCCCTGTGACCGTCTGATTCATCTTCGGACTGCCTGCTCCCCCTTTCACCAGCTCCACCGGAGTCAGGGGACCCATCGTGCTGGTTCCCAGAGTTTGCTCGCTTGTTGGCTGCCTCCCGAGTCCCTGGACGGTGTCTCTTGACCACCCGCCTACCCTGGGCATCATAAGTTACAACCTCAGGACTCGCAGATTCAGAGTCAGCTGCCTGTGATTCACTGTCTGACCCCAGAGCCCCCTCTTCCTGAGGAGACAGATCTGAGGAAGAACTAGCAGGAATGTGCTGCCCACTGCTGGTATGGGGCTCAGATGATTCTTGAGATGGACTGGACACCTCTCCTTCCAATGCCTCGTCAGAGCACTCCTCTGACATGCTTGAAGCCATGATCTTTCCCTAAAACCTCACCAAACTTCCAAAACCTCGAATAGCAAGCCTGTTCTGACCTCCAGAGCCACAGCTAGCGCCTCGGCATGAAAGCCTGCTCTGGACACTGAGCATCCAGCCTAGACTCTAGGCTGAGCCTAGAACTTCTCTGGTCAGACAAGTCTGAGGCCCCATGAGTTAGCGCCTTTGGCCTTTCCGTCGTCGTCGGTGTCGTCGTCTTCCGGAAGCAAATCGGACGGTAACTCGAAAGTCGATTTGGGAACTGCACCGTTTCAACTTGGTCGATCCATCGATATCGATGCCGTGGACTTAACCGAGAGATCGTCCATTTTAGGCACGAGACTGGGTTGCAACCGATGAGCTTCTTCCTGGACAGTGGACTGCTCAGGCTCCTGCCTTTTGATTCTTCCAAGTCTTCAGCTGGACCTCATCAGCATGTTTTGGTTGGCGCTTTGGTGCCATTGCATTCCCTTGTGTCAACTTTACTTGTAGTGTCATCTTTATGTAGTCATAGGACTGCTCATCTCTTTCCAGCCTCTGACGCCCAATACCTTTTGGGGCACTCAACTGCGCTTCCTTTAACAGTCGGTTAGAGAGTTCTTCTTGCCCGATTAGACAGCTTAGACAACAAGGCACCGGGCATCATGCTGCAATTCTTGTCCGTTGGGGTGTAAGTAGATCCAGGCTGAGCGCTACTCGAAGAGCGCAGCCATGGCTCCTGCAGATGAAGGGGCCCTGGAGATGGTCCTCAGCAAGTACAATAGCCCCGAAAAGGAGGCTGCTCTTAGCCTCAGCAACGCCAGAGACCCCGCCAAAATGCCAAAGACAGGGCCGACGGCGAAGATCGGGGCTTTATGTACAGCAGACAACTGCTCGAGGCTGGCGGTGCTCAGGTGGCCAGGGGAGGAGAAGGATAGCCGCTGCACACATCATGGCGAGAAGGGGATGCTCTCAAGGACGTTTCTATGTGCCAGGTATGAGCAGCATGGTTCTTTCTTACCGCATTGAGACGAGTCTGCTTATAGATTCAGAATGATGTCGTATGTACGATCGCTTTAAAAGGGATTTTTATGCAGTTTGGTGCTCCATCTTGTATCAAACTATAATGGCAGTAGGTGCTGGCTTAGGAGCACTGTTGAATGTGGCTGCTATTGTGAAGTATTCTCAGTAATTTCAGAACACAGTCCGAGCTGTGTATTTGTTTATAGCATGGTGACTCTAGTCGCCCACAGCATTTCCTATCCACACTTGCCTTTCACTTCAGACTTTACTTTCAGTTTGAATTGACAGGTGAGCTCCTATTGAAGATGCAAGCTGAGCTCTTGTCAATGCCTGATCTGGACCAATCCATGGTCACTGACTACAGAATGTTTTTGAATGCAAAGATGGTCAAATAAATTTGACCTGGCTAGTGATTCCGAAGTCCATCCTTGACCACCTCGCTGAGTACGGTGCTTAACTGACGGTTCCTCCAAGACGATTGCCTCATTACCGCTTTGGCTCATCTCTTGCAGGGATGATTTGCAGTGCTTCAAGCATGCCCGATATGGCTGGCCTGGCCAGTCAGTCACACACTGCGAGGTGCATAAGGAGGAGGGCATGGTGGCAAATGACAGGGAGAGCAAACGGTGAGAATGTATCCTGTTGATGCTTACTTGCCCTGCGCCAGTTAGAGCCGTCTCAAGTTGGGGCGTTGCTTCCCGGTTGGGAGAGAAACTCTGCAGTTGGGAAAGGAACTCAGACCTGTATACGAGCCTCAGTCTAGCTAGGGTAATAGGTTGCAAGGCTCATGGGAAGGAGGGCCGAGGCTGTAGAACAGTCCCGTGGTGAATTGCTTGTTCTCATTGTTCAGAACCTGTTTGAGTAACAAGATTGCCACTTACAAGCAAAAGGTGATTTGGAGGGGTTGATTACCTTCCTCAAGGTCTTGTTTTCCTATCATGATCAAAATGTGAAGGAAAGTGCTACTTTCATTGTTGAGGTCTCTCGGCTCTGCCAACAGTTGGAGCATGTTCCAAACTCCGAGCCCTCCTGCTTAATTCTTTGAAAGGAAAGACAGCAAGACTCGATTGAGTTGTTCATGCTTCTATTTATATGCACTGCGAGAGTCCTGCCCAGATCATGGGATAGTGCTCAGAAAGCCAGTTGCCTGACCCCTTCTTGGAGTTCGTAGCATTAACTTGCTTCATTAGAACTCTTACAACCCCAGTCAGCAGCTTACGAGCGTACACACCGTGTCCCGTCCCCAGGTTCACCAAGCCTACTGAGCAGGCGGAGCCAGTGCCCCCGGACGAGGAGCGATGCACGTTCTACAGCCGGGATTTTGGCATCGGGCAGCAGCGCAGGTGTAAGCGGCCCCGCAAGGAAGGGTACAAGCAGTGCGAGCACCACGTAGAGCTTCGGAGGCGGAGGGCGCAGAAGGCAAAAGAAGGCACGGTGGCTGCCCCAACCATCGAAGTGCCCCCGGTGCCAGACGAGCAGCGCTGCACGTATTGGGCCCAGCAGTGAGGAGACCATCTCTCTTATTTCGCTTAGATCGCTTAGCTGCGCAGAGCAGGAAGACGATCATGATCCTGCTTTTACTTTGAAAGCCAAAAACTTCGTTGTCTGCGCGGTCGGACCGGACTGGTCTGAGAAGCATCCTCCCTTTTGCGTGATTCAAGGTAGTCTGAGTTTGCTATGTCTTGGATGCCGTGTTCATGTGCTGTCCGGACTTCACAAGGACAACAAAGGTTGAGAGACGCAATTTGCCTACTGAACACAGTTTCGGGTTGCCTCCTCTGCTTCATCTGCCGTTCTTTGGGTGAGGCGATCTGCCATCACTTGTAACAATCTCTGGTTCTTTAGATCAAACATTTGCAAGGCAACTTTTCCTGACTCTTGTCACTACCCCATCCCACCTTGCAGCCCGCTGAGAGGCCGCGTGCAATGCAAGCGCGAGCGCATGCCAGAGGGCATCCTATGTGAGATGCACTCCAAGAACGCCGACCGCAGGAAGATGTGCTGGGTCGAGGGCTGCCAGAGGACGGGCTCCAACGGCATCTTTGGGTTCTCCCTCCGCTTAGCCTGCTCCTGGCACACGGCCTGCGGCATGATCGGCAAGAAGGACACATACGACCGCTGCTTCAAGCTCGGGTGCGCAGCCCGGGCGACCATGGGGCCGGAAGGTGAGAGCAGTGCGCGTCAACTTGCTTCACCGCAGCCCTATTTGACCTCCAGCTTGAACTCCAGAGGCCTCCTTCACTGCTATTCTCTTCACTTGCCAAATGCCTGGATTCACCTCACCCAGCAATTTTTGGTTCCAATATGTGTCAGGACAAATTCAAGGAGGCCAACTGTCAAGATTACTCTCTCGCAAGGACCAGCCAAGCTGTTGTTAGGAGGCACGTTGACTCACGTGGGGCCTCCGTTCGCTGCTGCAGGCGCCGTCATGCCCATGCTGTGTAAGGAGCACGCCGACCCTGGCATGTCGGTTCTACATCCCGAGGGGAATAACATGGCGGCTCCCAAGGTACTGAACCAGCCGAAGAAGGAGGAGCTTGAGGCGCTCAAGGAGTGGGACCTGGTCGAGGAGTGGGTGGCCAAGTACAAGGCCTCTCCAATCACGGACGCTGAGCAGTACAGGTACGAACCCTTGGTTTTGTCCACCTTGTTCCTGGCACTGCTGGATGAAAGCTGGCAGGCAAGGAGCGACTCGCACTAGCTGGATCATGTGGTTGCTTAGAGACTTTAGATGAGCAGATGCTGTGTTTCCTTGTAAGGCTTCCCACTTGGTTTCTGGAGGTTCCTGATCAGCCGATCTGAGGCCCGCGCCGCTGTATTGGGGGGCAGGGTCGATCAGTCCAAGGAGTCGAGTGCTTCTTTGACCAGAGTAGTCGTCAGGAATACCTCAAGCTTTTTATGCGGCAGGCTCCTTTGTAGTCTTTGTGGTCAGGGTGTTCGCTCAATGCTAAACAATATTTTCATGTCCCGCAGGCAAGACGCCTACCAATTAATCACCCGGCAGCGCGCCGAGAAGATGGAGACGTTTGTCCGAGTGAAGAAGCCGGCCCCGACCCCCAAGCCTCGCCGAACCAAGGAGGAGATGGAAGCTGCGGCCGAGGAGAGAAAGCGTCTCGCGGCAGAGAAGGACGGGTGGAAGGCCGAGCTCGCGGAGAAACGGCAGCAGGTCCAGCTGGCACGGGAGCAGAAGGAGGCGGAGAAGAAACGGGTAGCAGCGGAGAAAGCGGCTCAGAGGGCGCAGGCAGCGGCAGAGAAGGCCGCTGCGAAGGAGAGAGCGGCCGAGGAGAGGGCGGCGAACGGGACCGGGCCGAGACAGCGGAAAGTTGGGGAACCGGGAGTCGTGCCTAAGAAGCGGGCGAAGCAGATGATGGAGGGGGGCCCTCAGCACATGATTGTCGACATGGACCCTTCGCTAGTGGAGCAAGCTCTGCCAGTTGCGGTCTTGCTTCAAGACGGTGTGGAGGGGGACGACGGGGCGCCCGGCACGAGCGGTGCTGGTCCACAGGAAACGGGGGAACCGAGCTCGAGCAGGGGGGACGTTCTTGGCGGGTTCGTTTACGGGGGCCCGTCGGCTGGTCCGGCTGTCGGGGCGGGGATCGTGGTTAGGCCTCTCGCCCTGCAGCTACCAGTGGCCAACGGTGTAGCAGCCACTGCCGAGAGACCTCCGGAGCTGAGACCAGACGGGACAACCGAGCCAGAAATATATCTGATTGAAAATGGTCAGGGCCCAATGCCCATGGACGTCACCGACGCGGTTGCAGCGCCAGGGGGCAGCGCACCGTCGATCTCTTCGTCCCTGCCAGCTGGCAGCACCGGAGCCCCCAATCCGACGCCAGCCGCGCAACGCTCGCCGCAACTTCCCCCCCAGGCTGTAGTGCTCGGGAAGGTTTACCAGGGGGTCCCTGTGGAGGATGTGTACGACTGGTTGATGGCGGCGGAAAGGCGGGACAACGGCAGTGCGGGCTGCATTTACTCCTGCACCTTTCCGGGCTGCCCTGCCACGAAGCTGATGATCAACGACGAAGGGGCCGCCGCAAACGTCATATACGAGGTCGCGCACTTGCACGCACCAGGCGAGAAGGCTCCACCGGGTGCCCCGCCCCTATCTATCGGCAGCACCCCCCTATCCGACCAGCGCCCGGGCCCCCCTGCTAGGAGAAGCCATTTGGGTGCTCCCATCCAGGTTGCGGTTCCAGCGGCGTTGTACATGCAGCAGCAAATGCAAGCCGCGCGCGCCCAGACGAGCAACGCCGGTCGGCCGATGTTCCGGCCGATCCTTCCGAAGCCGGCGCCCAAGCCGAAGCAGCCCAAGAAGAAGGGCGCGGGGAAGCAGGACATGGACGTCCTGTTCGTGGAGGAGTGTGCGCGGGTGTTCAAGCCGGCGGGCGAGGCGGGCCTAAGCCGGGACGAGGTCAAGAGCTTCCTGAGCAAGTGGTCGAAGTTCCCGCTGGACACGGAGGAAGGGCAGGTGAAGCTGCAGCAGGCGCTGGAGTGCGGGCTGTTTGAGGAGGTGGCGGGGGGGCGCTACAAGCTGCGGGAGGCCCAGGCCGGCGCGCCCCCTGCTGCGAAGCAGGTCGCCTCGCAGAATCCGGAAGAGGGCCCGGGGCGGATGCAGGCCGCGCACTCGGAGCATGCGGCGGCCATGCTCAAGTACATGGGGGGGTCAGCGGGCACTCAAACGGCTACTCCCATGGAAAAGTCAAACGGCGATGTCGCTGCCCCCCAGGAGCCGGGTCCAGTCTCTGTTGCAGAGGGCGGGGTAGAGGCGGTGTCAGAACCAGACACTCGACCAAGGGAAAGCCTCCCTGTGGGGGTTCCCACGAAAAACAGCCTGCCTGCACCTGCCACTACCTCAATCCAAATACCAGAAGAACCTGCGGTGTTGGCCCTGGGAGCCCCGAACCCCCAGCTCGGCTTCCCTGCTCTCTCGCCCCCCATCAGCGAGCTTTTGTTGGGCGAGGATGAGCGGGCTGCGCGCGACAGCCTGCCGCTGTCGGAGGAAGAGGAGGCGATGCTCCGCAAGCTGACGGTGCGCAAGCTGCAGGCGCGGCGCTCGATGGTGCCCGCGTGGCTGCGGGAGAGCGTGACAGCTGGCGCGAAACGGCTGGCGTGGCTGCAGGCTCGGAAGGACCGCATGCAGGGGGAGAAGAGAGCGGAGGCGGAGCAGGGGGGCGGGCAGGAAGAGAGGCGGGAGGAACTCGGAGAAGCCCCCGAAGTTGAGCAACCCACAGAGACGATGAGGGCATTGGAACTCGTGCAGTCCGTCGAAGCGGGTCCGCCGGATCAAGAGGGCCAAGCAAGCGAAGTGGGACCTCTCGTAGAAGTTGGACAAACCACGCAAGCTGGCGAGAAACCTGGCGAGCGGCCTGGGGAGTCGAACCCCGCTGGGACGGCCAACCTGGACATCGGCGACATCCTCGATTTCCCAGCCGTGGAGGACCTTCCCGGCGACCAGAACTGGCTGACGTCACCGACCGCCGGCTTCCTGGGCTTTGCGCCGGAGTCTCCGGAGCAGGACCGGGAGCAAGCGCAGGCGGAGGAGAGCGCGCAGGAAGGCGTGCGGGCGCGCATCCCGCAGAGGAAAGCTCCGGAGGGGGTTCCCGAGGCCGGGGCTGCGCCGAGCGAGACGGAGAAGGCTGCTCCTGAATCCTTGGAACAGGCCCCGGAGAGTGAAAATTCAGGGAAGGAGGGGCTTACGGTTCATCAGGAGACGGTCCGGCAGGAGCAGAAGGAGATGATGGGCGCCCCGAAGAAGCGGAAGTGGGGGGAGGTCCAGGAAGAGGAGATGTTGCGGCAGATGACGTGGACGCCTGAGGAGGAGGCCTTGCAAAAGCTTCTGGAGTGCAGGTGGGCCTGGCGCCTCTGGTGCATCGTCTGCGACACAAGGCCTTTTTGTTGCTTTTTTGCTTTCTTGAGTAGCTGCTGATGTGTCCAAACGTCCTGCTTGCAATGGGTTGCTTGGGTCTGACTGGTGTCTCTATGTCGTGCTCATTGTACTCATAAACGTCCGTTGTCCTTCAGCGGTGTATCTTAGCCTCCAACAGGAGATCTCTTCTGAGGCTATCAGTTTGAGTGCAGGGAGTCACCTCAGGAACCAACCACAAGCACCCAGGATGTCGTTCCCGCTGAATAACGTCATAAACTTCATGTGAGTTACTGTCCTTACGTCACCGTGAGCTCGCAGCCTGTTGCAGCTTCTCACATGACGTTAGGACCTGTGCTTCTTATCCAACTGGCGTCACTCATATGCACTTGCGACCTGACAGCTAGCTCGAGTGAAGCTGCAACTTTCGATGAACGTTGCTTCGTCCAATTTGGTGCGGACCTGTGCCGTTGGAGCTCCTTCAGCAGATGGACCGACGCTTTCTGAATTCGTAGCTCCAGCTTGGGTTGAACAGAAATGGTGTCGTTCAAGGGTCCTGTTCGCTTCGGCCTTTGCCACGTAAGTATTCTTATTGAAGCAAATCCAGGGTCACTGCGAAAGTGCAACCCGTCTTTTTTGAGATTATTCACACCATTGCTCCCATTCTGGCAGGACCTACGGCGGCACCAAGGAGCTCCTGCCTAGAAACGCCTGTGGGAAATCCACGTCAAGAAGCTGAAGCTGAAGAGCCAGTGCTAATTTGCCAACTGCCAGCATCAACGCGTTCGGGTTTCGGGAGGGCGTTGCACGGGTGGCCTGCTTGCAGCACATCACATTGGGCATGGACTCGAACGAGATTCCCGACCTGCGGTGCTTTGAGTGTCGGGTGCAGCGAGTGCGCGTGGCTGGGGATTACAGGTGCGGTTTTATCCAGGAAAGACTAGTTGCAGTTGCTGGCGTTCTTTAGCGTAGCGTTCGACTTCATGCAATGGTTCAGAATATGAGAGAGGGAGGATCTCGAAAGCGTTGAGCTCGATTGAAATGAAAATTTGGATCATCCAGCATCTCTTACTGCTAGGAAAGCACTGTGGTCATTCGACCACCAAATAGTCACCGTCTTCTCCCATTTGTTAGGGTTCAGCATGTTATGATGCATCTCCCTTGAGCTTTCAATGCCGGTATTCAAGGCTGCCTCTCATCCTACCTAATTGTCTTAGTCAGTGCCTAGTTTTGGAAGCGAAAGCTTTGTGGCTGTAAAGTTGAGCAGCAAAGTCGAACAAGCGAAGGGATCGTTATCATTGATCGAACGAACAACGAAAACTATCCGGCCTTCAATTTTGGACACTGAAAGCACGTCTTCATCAATGCTTTCCAAAAACTTAGGATTCCGTCACTCAACTCAAATTCCCGTCGCTTATAGCCATCTTGGATAATGGTGAGACAATCGGTCTAGTCACTGACCAAATTTGAACTCTTGTCCAGGCGACCCGTTGGCGTACACCTGTCACGTCCACGCCCGCGAGGAGCTCGTCAAGAGTAGGGAGCTCGCTCCCCTCGTAATTTGAAGGGCTCCTCGCACAGAATGGAGGCACCGCCGCCGCCGTCCATCCCTTTGTGAGCGGGCCAATCGCCGCAGTGCCCTCCCATTGGTGCTGCGCCTCAGATCTTTAGAGATCGAAAACCGAATGGGGGATGAAGGCCGCCCTCGGCTACGGATACTGGGGGTTCTGGTGGTGCTTCAGCTGCTAGTATCTCGGAAGAGGGGGCACGGCTCCCCCCCAAAAGATTGGCGGGAGGTCCCTGTGCAGGGGTCCTCCTCGGAGGCGAGTGCCCGTCAGGGACGGCAAATGAGGGAGTCGTTCGCACGGATTATTGCGCGAGCCAAGATCCTGCTTCAGAACCTCTACAGCCTGCGGACCTGGAGAAGATTGACCAATTTCAAGGAAATGGTTTCAGGTGGGAAGCGGCTCCTTGATCAGCGACAGGCTGAACGGTTGCTGCTCTAGGGGGTCGAGGAGAAGTTTCTGAGCGGGAAAACCAGGGAGCGTGCGCTGTGCGGGTGGCGGCAAGATTAAAGGGATGCCCCGGGCCAACCTTGGAGGTTGACATTAGCGAGTCTGCGCCAGTCGTTGTGAACCCCGTCGTGGCCAAACGGTTGAACGAGAGGGCCCGCTTGCCGCTGCGCAAGAAGCTGGATTTGGAGGGGCAGAGGGGCGCAGGCGCTGCTGCGCTGGACCCCTTGGAGGGTTACTGGAGAAGGTGCGCTCGCTGGTGAAGGCGAGTAGACACTTTCGATTAGCATATCTTTTGAGGCCAAAGATCTCATGAAGGCAACTGTCACTGATGCTATGTTCAATGGACCGAGTTGATTATACGGTGGCCGAAGAAAAAGAGCCAATCGTTGATCTCAATTTGTCGCACAATCTGCTTTCAAATTGGAAGAGAAGCATTATGTGCTCAGACATTACTGCAAAGGCGAAATACTTCTAAAGTCGCTTGCAGTGCATGCAAGCTTCGAGCAGATTTCTTTCGAAGTACGTTATCAGTGGCGGCAAAGAGTGAGCAATGGATGGGAGAGCATGGTGAAGAAGTGCGGCAATTGCACATGCCTTCATTAACAAGATCATCATGCATCCCGAAATATTGTACGAATTTCGGATGCGCGCACAAACTTACATGTATGCGCTCCAATGATCTTGTGAATAAATGATTCAACCATAGTGGTTCATAGCACGAGCGAAAAATGCTGATCTCATTCCGGAGCCGTGCGCGCCTGCAAAGATTCACGAGTCACGACTCGATCGCTTCAGAAACATACTAACTCATGCACGTGAATAAATATTGTATACGTACATGATAATTATGAAGTCGATCAATCCTGTGCTCATGCCAGACTGGCGGCATGTGCACCAACCCGAACTACGGTACAAGATTGAGCTCGCTCTGGTCGACCATGTATAAGCTAGCTAGGGCGGCTGGCAAATTATTGAAGGGTTCCAGGAGGTGCTATCTGTCCAGCCACACATGCAACTTCGCTTCCTTCGCTAGCGATATCCTTTCGAGGCAGTGAGTCACGTTGCTCTCTGAAGCAAGAAGATGGATCGAGTCGGCTCGCGGCTTAGTATACACCCGCCTTGCGTGATTATTGAGTAAGGTTCTTATTGTACGTCGAAAGGCTGCTCTGGTTATAGGGTCGTCGTACCAACTAGAAGTTTCTTGACCTGATGCAGACTTGCCTAATGCTTTATTAGGTCCGACCAGATCGACATGATCATATTGTGCGCAAGGCAGACCTTAATCAAGCAGAATATTGTGGCGGGATTGTGGCCAGTCCTATAAGACAGAAAGACGCGTCATGCGGCCCAGCAGGAACCCGGGCGGTCCAAGATCGTGAAGCCCGGGCGCCGGATTGACACCAACTCTTTCGGCCACAACTCTAGCTTTGAAGTTGAGTTTGACGTGTACGATTCACTTCTTAAGATGACGTAAAGCATGCGCGTGACGTTGCGGGAGGAGTCCCGGTGCTCGTTCAGCAGCCGAGGATGGTGTCCTCCTTGTGATTTAAAATATTCATTCCCGCCAGTGTTGAAATTCCGCCTTGACGGTCGTGCAACCTTAAGCTCCACGAGCGCTGAATGTCCGTCCAGTTGCTTCTTACAGCATTTGCAGTCCTGAGTCCTCTCATTTCCAGCGGATATAAAGGCGGCGCAGCTGTGGAAGGGTGTAGAATTCAAGCTCGCAGTGCCAGTGGTCCCTCGAACGATAGAGTCGCTTGGAGGGGCTTGCGTTTTGCGCCCCAACAACACTAGGCATCGGGCTGGAACATGAACAAGGATCAACAGATGCAATGATGAGAGGGAAGGTGCTGAGCAGCTTCGACCAGATCCAGGACACGAAGTCAAAAGGAGGACTTTGAAAGCTCGCGGAGTGTGATTTAAGTTTCTGCTATGTTCTGACCTTAGCAATCATTTGATTCTCAAAGGTTCCTAGTGCTGAGGGCGCGGATGGTCATATTGAGGCCGTTCCTTTCAAGCGAAGCGCTTGGCGAAAGCTGTTCAACTTGATCCTGCTGACAAGAGAGGTAAGTTGTTATTTCAGATTATCAGAGATCGGTTGACAAGCTGAGGTATTCATGTTCCAACACCAAAGGTGGCCATCTTCTCTGGTCTGTGCTGCGACACCTGTTTAACGGATAGTAGATTTGCTGCAACACATGAGAACTCAGCATGCGGTGAGGCGAATTGCAGTATAATCGAGAGAGCAGAGAACGTTCAAAATTCACGTGTTACGGGGGGCTTGGTCAGTCCACTGTTTTAGAGTTGCGTATCTGATGACAATCCTGACTGCTTACTATCTGGTCCTTTCTACACCCGCCTGCACTTGGAGGCACTGTCGATGTTTATTGCAGCTGTTAGATAGTTTTCAGCGGACTACGTTCAAGCTGAAGCAATTCATTTTCCTTCGAAGCCAGCGTGAACGACCTTGTCGGGTTCAGGTCAACATCTCGAGAGGATTTACATCAGATACGGGGCTCATCAAAGAAAAACTCTTGGACTGCGCAACACTCAAGCATATAAAGAGAATGCCTTCTGACATTAAAAACCTGTTTTTGATGCAGATCCAATGTCGTTAGAGGGCCAAAGAGCAAGTGGATGTCAGCGCTGGAAATACTGGCTGATCAATCATGGAAGCCAAATCATCGTTGTATCCGCGTACTTCGCTGCCTGCGCTGCTCTCTTCGCTTGGAGATTACTTGCGTGGATGGGAACGCCAGAGTTCGAGATGATGTCATACGGATTCTGTATCTGTAAGGGCGCAGCAGAGGTGAGCACCTACTTAGGCAAAGGTCATGAGATTGACTACATGAGAGGGTTTCCTTGCCTTTGTTGCAGCATTGGTACAAGCTCAAAATAACTGGGTTGAATCTATTTGTTGAAACGTAATCGATGGTGAGCATGAAGGCGCCTTCTTCTCATCCCACGATCTCCGCTCAACCACAAGACTAGAACTGGATCCATCGACGTTTATGTTACCAGTACGGGCAACTCAGTGGTTATAATTAAAATCCGGCCTGCATTTTGGGGGTGCAATGGACTACTCCTGATTAGCTAGCTCCCAGACAAGCTTTGACTAAAGGTTGAATCAGATAGCACATATATCAGAGGACCTAGCTGATTGAATTTCAACTCTTCCAGGTACTAAAACTAAACCTGGCTCTCATCATCCTGTGCGTCTGCCGCAACACGCTGACAGCTCTGAGGGGAACCTTACTTGGACGCAATCTTCCCCTGGATACGACCATCGATTTTCACAGGGTGAGCTTTTAGAGCCCTGCAAGGGAAACGCGCCGCGCGCGAGGCGAACAGTGGTTCGCGTGCGATCGTACTGATCAAGATCGAAAAGCTTATCTCTGAGGCGGTATGTTGCCTTCAACACACACCTGGAGATGCAGCTTTTGCCAGACTTGCATTCATCGGAGGTCACCAAGAAAATAATCTGTCAGACTCCTAGCTTCTTAGAACGAAGGTGTCCTCCATTGCAGATTATCGGTGCGTCTATCGTCGTCTTCACGCTTATCCACGTGTCTGGTCATCTGACCTACAACTTTCCAGCTATCGCTGGGGCTTCCAGGGCAACGTACGATTCTAGGTAAGTGTCACCTTAACACGAACCTCGGACCGACACCTCGAGAGAGATTGGCTGGATGCAAGAGTTTTCTTTAGTCCAAAAGGAGCTCGTGATAGTTCTTCTCTTCTTCTTCCTTAACCTGTTCACAACCCTGTATTTCGCTCCTTGAAGGAAGTTCGAAATCCTACGTTGGTCGTAAAATCCGACTCGATTAACGTGATTCCACGAACAAATTTGCTTGCAATTTGCAGCGACATCAGCCGAGTGTACGGAGAGGTGAAGCCTGACTACTGGAACCTCCTCGGCAGCTTCGACTTCCTCTCAGGACTCTTACTTCTTCTCCCCATGGTTGTGGCATTCCCTTTGGCTCTGAGCTACTTCAGGACGATGTCAGGAAGCAGTAAAGGTCTGCGGAGGTACCTGGCATGCGTGACTGGATTCAACGCTTTCTGGTGAGGGATGCGGAAGGGCAAGATGTTAATTTGAGAGATAGAGACTCTTTCAGATGTTCCAGGAGGATCACATTCTGCCTGAGACTTTTTGTACCTACAGGAGCTTGAGAAGAGATGGATGAGGCGATCTGTTGGGACTTGCTAGATCAAGAAGCTGATTGGACTCTCACGCACAAGAATCTTGTCCATCTTGTTACACAGAAGGTTCACCAAAGGGTATCGAAGAAGCAACTAAAGCTGTCTAGGTGCTTGTTTGCTAGCGGTCTGACATTTTGCATAACTCACAGATCGACAGGTTTTTGTGCGCTTACTTGGTTGCTGACGTCGCAGGTACAGCCACCACACCCTCCTGCTCATGTACGTCGTCGTCATCTTCCACGGGACTCGCTCCGGCCACTGGTACGTACCGTCGACGACCGCCTGGGTCTACATTGTAGGGCCGCTTGGGGTCTACCTTGCTGAGCGGTTGCTGAGGTGGTACCGCGGATCGGGGGCGCACCATCAGCCGCAGGTTCTCCAGGTAGAAACGCCTTTTCTAGCCAACTCCTTTAGTAGTCTTTGGAGCTGGCGTTTCCGCTGCTGAGCTTGCTTGTTGTCTTGAACAGCATTAATTTATGGTTGGCAGCTGTGTACCTTAACACTTGGGATATCAACGTCGAATCAATCTTGCGCTTCTATGCTGGAGGAGGATCCCGAAGCGCTTGGTTTCGAGAAAGAAAGAAGTAGAAGTTTCAAATGTTGGTTTTTTTGCGGCATTGGTGCTTGAAAGATTGCACGCAGTTCAATCTAGCGCTGCAATGGGTAGGATGAATGGGTTGAGGGAAGTGTTGATGACTGATTGATGGTTTGAGGGGTGATATGAAAGTGGAGTGTGGTATAGTATGTGGGCTGTGCCCTCCTCTGCGGTTAGTGCAAAGGCAGAGGCGACACTGGCGGGGGCCAAGCAAGCTTGGTGTCCCCCGCCTGCCCCAAAAAATTGTTGATAGGAGAAAGGAGATGACCTATCAAGCCATCTAGAACAGATACTACAACCAATCTTAGCCCGAAGGCGAAATGGTTGCTGGACGAGAACAACTCCGTGCGTTTTGTAGTGGCCGAAACAGTAGGTGAAGCCGTGGGCGTGCCTCGCAAAAGCGTGACACGTCGATCGCGATAGCTCGACCGTCGGTGGCGGCATCGGCGGTTACAATACTCGATCCTGTAGTCGCATGTCGACGGTCCGATCCTGTCAAATGACATCGCGACCGTCAAAGATCGCCGACGATTCGGACCGCGCCGGGCCTCGGACAAAGAAATGCAGCATGGCACGGTCGAGAGCACCAAGTCCGATTCTCACGTCAAAGAGGGGTTTGTTAAGCTGATCTCTGTGTGTACTCCGGCGGCTCTTATAAACCCGGGCTTTTCCTTAACGGAGCTGGTAACAAGGGCCGGGCGCCGACGCTACGCTGGAATAAATGGCAGCTCAGCTTCATCTTGTGTCGCTTTTACTGCATGCAGGCTGTCAGCTACTCTGGCAAAGTGCTTTTGCTGGAATTGAGCAAGCCGAGCGGATTCCGCTACCGGAGCGGGATGTTCGTCTACATCCAGTGCCCTGCTGCTTCCCGCTTCGAGTGGTGAGGATACACTTGGCACACCCCTCGGTCCATGTATCGCAACGCAGATCTGAAGTGCCAAATTTCTCTTCTGAACTTGCAAGTAAGTCTCGTGAAATAATGAGGCTCAGGTAAAAGGGTTTTCAAAATCACAAGAGACTTTTGCTTGATTGCTGCAAGCTGATGATTTTCCAAGGGGTCATGATGGTGACGATCTTATTTTGGTTCCAGAGACTTTCAATTGAAATGCTTTTTGGCCAATTTTGCAAAACGTCCGGAACGCTTTTTCTTTGCTGGGCTTCGCTGAAGCATTTGCTTGGGTCAACTGGAAAAACCTCTGACTACAGCTCCGTACACATCCACAGGTTCCGCTTCAGATTTTTAGTGGGTGGTAGAAGAGGCAAGCTTATGACGTGGGCAGAAGAGACAAGCTTCAAGTAAGGCGTCGTTTGATTCTCCTGTTCACACCGATCGACTCGGACTCTGCAGGCATCCATTCACGCTGACGTCAGCCCCTGGAGACGACACCCTGAGCCTGCACATCCGCGTCGCAGGAGACTGGACTAGCGCCCTTCTGAGAAAATTCGAATCAGTAAGTGATCAGTGCACCGGACTTTTGTAACATCAAATGCTGCTTTGTGATTAATGCTTTCAATCAGGACCTGGAAAGGCAGGGCTTGGATCTGACTGCGTAGCCGGAACTTCAGATATGACCTTGCTGAGACCTTTCACGCGTCTACAGGCAATACGGCTTGTCACCATGCTCTGTCTCAGTTAAAGAACCAGGCCTGACGAGCCTGACCTAAGGATCTTCTGACAAACCCCTTGACAGCTGCTCGCCATTTCGTTTCTCTAACAGCTTCTGCGAGTCCAGTATCCGAAGCCCCAAGAATCACCAGCAAACTGCAAAAGAAAGCGCTTTTCGAAGCATGAGACGCCTATCTTTCCGCGGTCCTCACGAATCATGAGCACTGGTTCTGAAAGTGTGCCACATGCGGCAGAGCGCTGACCTTTACGCTCATGAGCACGATAATGCAACCAAGGGCAGCCATGATAAAAGACTCCGAAACGGACGCAGGCACTAGACGCAACGAATAGCTGCCCCAGCCATGCTGACGTCAGCTCCCCGGGATACGCCGCGGCCGCGGCCGCGCTCTCTACCGTCCCGCCGAGCCAGCAAGAAGATCAGGAGCCGGACCTCGAGCTGGGTGGCAGAAACGAGCGGCCCTCGTGGCGCCACGTGGCAGCCACAAAGTTCCCTTCGTTGCGGATGGACGGTCCGTACGGGGCTCCGGCGCAGGAGTACCGGAGGTATAAGACGGTCCTCCTGGTGGGAGCGGGCATCGGGATCACGCCCTACGTCAGCATTCTGCGGGACCTCCTGCACAGATTCCAGACGGAGCAGGACCAGGTAGGAGAAAGAGGGCAGCTGGATTTGCATGCGATGTCATTTGCATATGACATCGTAAGTTTCGAGCAGAACATCAAATCATTGTCGAGGTTCGAGACCTTAGACAGTGACAGGGTCGGCCCCCGCTTGCCCAGGAAATACCCTCCTTCAATTCACTCATCGTCACAGTGAATTTTGTCTCCTTGAACTCTGGTCAAGAATACGCAACGCGAAAGGGTGCTTCCCATACTGCGAAGCAAGGGAGGCGATTCTTGATTCCTCAGCCAGAACTGGCCCATTACCTAAGTTTTTTCGCATTCGAATTCCTTGTGTCAGGTTTCAGTGCGACAACTCATCCCTATAACGCTGAGAGAGATAGCGACAACGATAAGCTCGACTTGCTTGTGAATCTGCCGGCAACACGGACTCTGGATCCCGAGTGGATATAAGCGCATTGTTGCAGCAGATGAACCAATCTAAGGAACGGATCACTCTGCCAGCCGCAGGCGAGGGATTCCTCCGGCGCGCCACGTGTTCGGCGAGTAATGACGGAGGCCGTGTACTGCTATTGGGTGACGAGGGATCACGACACTGTGGCCATGCTGCGAGACTTACTGCAAAGCCTCGCCCAGAGAGAGATCGAGGTATGGTATCGATTCCTGTTTGAGCCTTATCTGGACGCTTCAAAATGATCGAGACAATACTCGAAGCACCTTAGTTGTTTTGAGTTATCTATGGATTTTTTGAGGCCGTTGGTTGCATGTAGAACTGCGTTCTAAAATGTGTCTGGATTGTGGATGCCAAGAAAAAGGATGGAGGGCTTCAATCGTCTCTCATAAAGCCTTGGCGAGTACAAGGCTCCAAAGATCTTTTGTTTAAGATGCCTTCATCTTTGCAGGGACGACTAGAGGTGCACATCTGCTTGACCGGGCAAACCCCAGCGGCAAATACCACTCCCGCGTTGTCATCGGTTTCGGTGACGGAGTCTTCTGCCGCGTCAGAGTTGGGGACTTCTCCGAGGGGCGGAATGGTGAGCCCGTTCGCCTCATCCGAGACGCAGTTGAATCGTCTGGATGGGCGTAAATTCGAAAATACTTTCCTTAGCAGCTGCAATCGCACTCCCGACTTCCGCTGAGACGAACTTCAATGCTGTGCGTCTGACGGCAAATGCTACCATGTGGTCCTGTAAACGGGGAACTGGATCAGAGAGTACACCTCTGCAAACGGCTACGGATGAAGCTCACAGTGCCGTTCAACAGATTTGGTTTATCTTTGACTATATCACCTAAAAGGATAGAATTGACTATAAACGTGAGTTAATTAAGACGGGCTTCAGAAAGGAAGCCGTCATAGCTTTCCTGCACTTTTGACACGGTCCTTGACACGGTCCCATACTACGGCGGGGCTCTCCACAACCACGGCAGTCATAACTGCGCAATTTTTGCATCCGCTTAGTCAGGTTTGGCAGCTCAAGTACACCGTTTCGTGCAGGTTATCGAGCACCACAACTCTCGGCCTGATTGGGACTCCGTGCTCTCGGGCATCGCCGGGCGGCACCCAAAAGGCGATGTAGGTGAGAAGATCCAATTCTCAATCTTTCCATCTACTCCCTGCAAGAAACACGTACCCCCCGCGAAAGGCAGAATCCATCCGAGTTCAACCAGAGCGTGAATATACTTTTCCGGATTGTTTGTTCCCATGTCGTCGCAGCTTTGAACGCAGTGCAAAATCTTCTGGAACATTGAAGAAAATCTTAGCAGGCCGGACAACGGCCATCAAGTAGGCTTTACCAGTCTCAAAATTCTATCTATTCCTACGAATCATGTCACTTGAGATCCTAACCATATTGAAAACCGCTTTACCTGGATCCTCCACGCGTGTTGTCTCCAAGCAGAAATGTATCTGTGCAGGCGTCTTCTACTGTGGGAAACCTGGCATTGCTGCCGCGTTGAGAAGCAGACGTAGTCGTTTCTCACTTGCGAGGGGCACCTTCTTCCGGTTACACAAGGAGACATTCTGACATACCCTAAGATGCAGATCACCAGTGAAGCGATTGTGCCGGTGACTGACTTTGAAGTCCGAGGTCCGAAGGTTACAACTATAGTAAAGGCAACTGTTGCGCGGCCCCGCGATTCATGAAATCATCTGCTTTGAAGTCGAGCAGCGATGCACCGCAGTGTCCGCTTTATTGTGACACATGCATGGATGAACGAGCGCTGCACGCAGTTGATCCTGTATAGCTAGGCCGCGGGACTTGCCATTCAGTCGTTTGGCACGGTAGATCCGCGGATGTGAATGCAACGGTCATTTTTGACGCACAATACCCTGCAACTGAATAGGAGTATAACAACTGATTGTGCAAGCGGGCGGATGCATTATTCATTGCAGAGCGCCATCAAGTTCTCGCATGCCGCCATGTGGTGCACCTGCAACCGACATGGTGGATCGAAAGGTTTTGCTGAGCTCTTATACTTGAGGGGCGCCTTGACAATGTTATGTAGAAATCTGGACAT